GAGGCAGTTGGATTGCTTGAGCTCACGAGTTTGAGACCAGCCTGAGCAACAGCCAGATCCCGTTGAGGCAAGAGAATCACTTGAGCCCAAGAGTTTGAGGTTGCTGTGAGCTATGATATCCCAACATTCTACCCAGGGTGACAGAGCCTCTGTCTCAAAAAATAAATTAATTGATTGATTATGGGCTGAGAAAAGTGGCTCATGTTTGTAATCCTAGCACTTTGGGAGGCCAAGGCAGAAGGATTGCTTGAGGTCAGGCATTTAAGACCAGCTTGAGTAAGAGCAAGACTCCTATCTCTACCAAAAATAGAAAAACTTAGCCAGGTATGCTGGCATGTGCCTGTAGTACTAGCTACGTGAGAGGATGAGATAGGAGAATCACTGGAGCCCAAAAGTTTGAGGTTGCAGTTAGCTATTGATGACACCACTGCACTAGCCTGGCCAACAGAGCAAGTCCCTGTCTCAAAAACAATTAATGTATATGTGCATCTATTTTTGAAATCTCCATGTTTCTACACTTACACTATTACCATATTGTGTTGATTATTATAGTTTATAGCGGATCTTGAAATCAGGTATGTGAGTCCTCTAAATTTTCAAGATTATTCTGTTCTAGATTCTTTGCTTTTCCACATACATTTTAGAATAAACTCATCTTTCTCTTACTGTTTTTAAAAGGACCTGATGAGATTTTGATTGCATTGAATCTATAGGTCAATTTGGGTACAATGGATTTCTTAACAATATTGAGATTTACAATTCATTAACATGGTATACCTCTCCTTTTAAGTCCATCTTAACTATACCTTCTCACTAATTTCTAGTTTCCAGTGTAAAAGCCTTGTAATCTGTTGTTAGATTTACTTCTATTTATTTTATGTTTTATATTATTTATGTAAATGTTGTTTTTGAAATTTCATCTTGTAATTATTTGTTGGAATATGAAATTCAATTTATTTACAAATAATTACATAATAAACAATTTATTTTCATATAAAGATTTTGTAGACTGTGGCTTTGTAAAAATCATTTCTTCTAATAGGGTCTTCTTGTGTGTAGATTTCTTTTTTTTTTTTGAGACAGAGTCTTACTTTGTCACCCTCAGTAGGGTGCTGTGCTTGTCATAGCTCACAGCAATCTCAAACTCTTGAGCTCAAGTGATCCTGCTGCCTCAGCCTCCCGAGTAGCTAGGACTACAGGAGCCAGCCACAACGCCCAGCTATTTTTTAGAGTCAGGGTCTCGCTCTTGCTCAGGCTGATCTTGAACTCCTAAACTCAAGCAATTCACCTGCCTCGGCCTCCCAGAGTGCTGGGATTACAGGTGTGAGCCATGGCACCCAGAGCCTTGTGTGTAGATTCTTGGTTTTGTGCATATATATGATCTGCTAATCGTGACAAGTCTTGCCTTTTCTAACATTGTCTGTCTTTTCACTGAATTATGGCACTGGCTAAGACTTCCACCATAATGGTAATGGAAATGGGTCAGAGTGAACATCCTTGGCTTGTTTCTAATCTTAGGGGAAACCCTTGCAACATTTCATCATTAAGCATGATGTTATCTGTCAGTTTTCATAAGTGTACTTTATTAGATTGAGGAAGCTCCCTTTAGTTCTAGTTTGCTGAGAATTTTTATCATGAATGAGTGTGGAGTTTTATCAATGGCAGTATTTAAAGCTATGCATTTCTCCCTCTTAAGTTACATCCACAATTTTGATATTTTGAATTTGCATTTTCATCCATTTTGACATAATGCCAATTTCTTTTGTGGTTATTTGTCCCATGTGTTTTTAGATGCATATTATATCCAAATATGCAAGGATTGATTTCTAATGTAGCCTGAGACTTCATATGATTCTAATGTTTTGAAATGTATAAAGGACTTGCCTTATGACACAGCGTATGTATGGTCTATCTTGGTGAATGTGCCACGTATACTCAAAAATAATGGTGTACTCTGCATTTGTTGGGTACAGGTTTTAAATAAACGTCAGTTCAGGTTGCTGGTATAATAGACTTTTCTGGTTACTAATTATCTAAATAATTCAATAATGATTTACATAATTCAACAATGAGAAAATCTTTGAAAGGTGACCCAGATAAAAGTACCCAAACAAATAAAAAAGTGACTCAACTTGAGGGGTTCCCATGTGATCCAACATTTATATCGGGCCTCATATATAAATGAAATTTGGAACCAAATAAGTTACTCCTGGTCCATTAGATTATTTAAACACCGTGTACCATCACTTGGAATCCAAGCACAAGGCTAAACCTAGGATTTCAGAGGAATTATGTGCATTTAATAATCTTATTTAACAAGACTGTTTTCTTTTTCTGTATTGCCTTTTTATAGATGGCTAAGTGTCACCTAGAGGTAAAGCTTGCAAGAAAACTAGTTTATAAACAGAAATTTTAGGTACTAAGGGTTAGGTTAATGGAAACAAACATTAGAGTAGTTCTGAGTACTTCATACCACTTTCACACTTAAGTCACGGGCACAGACATTGTTTTGTCTGTGTACATGTAGTAGAAACCTACCATAAGGAAATAACTGAGTAAAAACACACTAAAGCATTCTTGGACAGTAAGAAAGGTCCCTTAAAAACATATCCTTGGTATTTAATTCAGAAAGGTCTAAGAGTTCACAGTATCTTCGATCTCTTTCAAGCCACTCCACTTTGTAAGGAAAAGTTTAAAATGATTTTTAAATCTTCATTCATAAATTAAAACTATTAAAGGGAAAAATTAAATCTTAGCTAACATGTTTGCTGCTCCATTTCTGTCTGCAGAGAGGTTCTTACCCTCTGCCAGTGTCATATTTGGTGACGCTTTAAAAACTTCAGTCTTTAGACAAATAGTATATAGTTTTATTCAGATGATACCTAGAACTTTAGCATTCTAAAACCTATCGTTTACCAATTAAAATCAGTAAACTGTTTTGTGGAATCTGAACTTCTTTTCTGTTTAGATTTTTCACCAATCTAAGTAATAAATAGATTAGTAGCCAACAATGGTAACTCAGGTAATAAAAAATATATACAGTTTTCCATAAAGTTTGTGTGCAATTTAAAATACTTTAACATAGCAATTTGCACACAAACTTTATGGAAACTCTGTATTACATTACAGCTCAAATTTTCACCAAGCTGTTGCATGTGCTCAAAGACCTTCATGATACTGTGCTTGATTCCTCTGAGTAACTTACAAAACACTTAGGTTACTAGGAAAAAAATGGTTATTACTTTTATTATCTGTCACTGACTTTTACCCTTGTGTGTACATACTTCCACTTTTAGGCTTAGAGTACAGTCAATGTAGCCTTTCAGTTCAAGTTATTGACGCAAACAATATTCCCTTTCTGCTTTGGGTTTTCTTGTAATTAAACAGTACATTGGCAGAACTATCTTTGCAAATGGTGCTACATATAGTCAAAGCATAAAGGTAGAATGATAAGACTAATAGTCAATATTTGAATTGATAAAGGGAAGTGTGGCTACATCATAAAGTACTAAAAGATGGTCCCTGACACAGAGTAGAGGCATTCATTAAATACGTGGTTAATGAATGACTTCAATGACCAAATAGAATGTGATCTGTAGCCATTACAAAGCCCAAATATATTGGCTAAAACATCTGAACCCAAGATTAACCAAAAAAGAACATGCAGACATAGTACACCATTGTTTTGTTTTGCTTTGTTTGCAGTTTTTGGCCAGGGCCGAGTTTGAACCCACCACCTCTGGTATGTGGGGCTGGCGCCCTACTCCTTGAGCCACAGGCGCCACCCTAGTACACCATTCTTTTAAAGAATCTTTCACTCACCAATGGTGAGCCATACAGGCATGGCCGAAGCAATGAAAATGAAAGCCATTGTTGCGATATTTCTGCTTTTGGAGACTGTATAACAAAGATACAGTTAAAGCAGAAAACTTGATTCGCTATCTATGTTCCCCAGCCAGAGAACATCACAGACATTACAAACGTACCTACCCAATGACCCTCAGCATCCTCATGGAGAAGCTGAACAACATCTCCATTTCTAATCAGGAGATCTTCTGACCCTCTCTTCCTGCAGTCTGGTAGGGCTTTATGTTTGCCTGGAAACTACAAAGTTGTTTTGAAAAATTACATCATAAGCTTGATTGCAAAACTACTTGTATAACTGCCTGTTCTGTGACATAAAGAATTTACTCATTACTTCAGTGGAAAATATGGCACCTGGAGCTTTGCTGGAACAGACATAGAGCAGTTTGTAGTAAAAAAATAAAGCAGAACATATGTTCACTTAACCTAAAGAATTAATTTTTATTTGAAAAAAGAGAATTACAACATGAAATATACAGAAAATAATAGAGCACAACTAATTTGTTACATGAATTATAAGCATAAATCCAGAAAAAACAAGCATGAAAATATTAATTTTTAAATACTCTTATTTGTAAACTATTTTCATGAAAATTTTATCTTGGCACATACAAAAGACAATAGCCCTGAACAAAGTTTACTCATGCCCCTGAAAGAACTTCTGGGCATCGTATTGTTTTGCACAGGTTAAAATAATGGGCACAAAAGCTCTGGGTCCAATGAAAGCATATGAAATCATCACGTTGTGCTTTACTTGACCTTAGTCATTTTGCAGCCATAATTTTAACTTAATTCATTAATAAGCTAAATAATACAAGGCACACTGATTGCATTTGGTTACAAAGTAGATAGAGAAGAAATGATTTTCAAGTCCAAAAGTATTCTGAGATGAGAATCTTTCCAGCACAATATCTTACACATCAAATACATAATTTTCAAAGAAAAGAATACATAATCAAAATTTTTAAGAAAGAAAAGAAAAACTATGTGCTGTTGATTCTTTATATGTCCAAGGAAATTAACCTGAAAACAACATCCACATCATTTGGGCTGAACATCTTTTGAGTAGTATTTTTTCCAAATAGGCTGAGAAGCAGGCAGGAAAGAGCTACTTGCCATTTGACATAGTAGCTTCATCAAAATAGGAGAGCCATGTCCGTCACAGGTCTCTACAAGGGAAGCGGTACCCATTATTGCTCAGTTTTTAACTTGATAGGACTTCTTTTTTGGGCAGGGAGAGAGATGCATGGAATGCATTCTATTGTTCTTCTGCATGTTTTCCTTTGTAGCACAATTCAGGGATTTATTGGAAAAAGAGAAAAAAAACTAATAGTTTTTCTACATTTCCATACCCTGTGATTAAAACATTAATCAACGTTTCATATGCACTTTACTTTCTGAGACCATAGGTGGAAGAAGACTTAAGACTTAGTTCTTCACTATTCGGGCGACAAGCACACTAGAAGCCCTGATACAAGCATTATGAAAGGTATCCATGTCACAAAAACATTTGTACCCACTTAATATTTTAAAATTAAACAAAGACTGAGTTCTTGACAATAGATCATCTATAGTAAATGCAGCAAATGTTTAAACGTTTCTTCTGACTTTTTGCTCACATCTGAATAACTACTCCCACCCATTCCATCTTCAGACAACATTAATTAAGGAAATTAACTTATTAGTCTAAACCAATGGTTCCCCAAACTGAGGGTTCTAGGTATTCTTTCAAGAGGTCTGGAAGGTCAAGCTACAATAAAACCTTATTTACCTATTTCAGTGTCATCCTCTCACAAGCATTAACATGTAGTGGAGTTTTCTAGAGGCTTTGTGATGTGTAATAGTACAACAGAGTGAATGCACAAACAGATATGAAAATTCAGCTTTCTTTTACTAAGCCAGATATTAAAGAGATTTTTAAAAATTCCATCCTTCTCATTAATTTTATTTTGAAAAATGTAACTTTTAAACAAAAAATCTTGCTTATTATAAGCTTATAATGGGTTTATCAATATTTTAAATGAATAAATTAGAAATTATTTATCTTTTCATTTTACTTTATAATATGATAAACATGAATAGTTGGAACCTACATAAGCCAGAGTTCTTTGGGGTTCTCAGTGTTTAAAAATGTAAGGGTTTCCTTCACTGAAGTTTGAGAACTGGCTTGGCACCTGTAGGTCAGTGAGTAGGGTGCCAGCCACTTACACTGAGGCTAGTGGGTTCAAGCCTGGCCTGGGCCAACTGCAACCAAAAAATAGCCGGGTGTTGTGGTGGGCACCTGTAGTCCCAGCTACTTGGGAGGCTGAGGCAAGAGAATCGCTTAAGCCCAAGAGTTTGAAGTTGCTGTGAGCTGTGACGCCACAGCACTCTACACAGGACAACATAGTAAGACTCTGTCTCAAAAACAAAAAAGAATTTGAGAACTGCTGGTCTAGACAATTAACTCAAAACAAATCTCTCATCAGCTCCCAGTCTCAGTTTCCTCCTCTGTCAATTAGAGCCATTAAAGCCTGCCCTGTCTCACACTAATAATATGGATGTTAATACAAAAATCATCTGGTCAACTGTAAACTGCCATATAAATATGTATAATGGTCATCACATTGTTAGAAGAAATGATATCTTTTACTTTTTTGAAGAAAACATTTTAGAGTTAATGCTGTGCAGCTTTGTGATTATCCACGCCATTACTCTCTTACACGAACAGTAAACCTGCCAAATTGAATTGGTTCCTCTGAAGGGCACCAAGGAGCAGTTCACTACCAAGCATCATTCCTACCGTCCAAGGTGGTGGCTTGAGAAAAGTAAGGATTTACCCCCAAACAATGCTAACTCCCCTCTAATAGGCCACCAATACCCTAACGACTTATAACTATTTCTTCTATAAAACCCTCACTTTTACCCTAAAACAACTTCATTTTTTTTCTGGGTACTTCACTACTCTAATATGCTGAGATTTGATATCATTAGTACATGTTATGAGAAACCACTAATATATATTCCCCGGATATTTTAAATAGTTTTTAATGTGTAATGTTTATTTCCTATATTTTCTCAGCCGGAATTCAAACTGACTTTTAAAGTATATTTGAAACTTCTTTATTCTCTCACTTTATTTCACATGCCTAGATGGAAACCCCAGTGGTAAAGCTCAACCAAAGATAAACTTGGTCAATTTATAGATTTGGAAACTATTTCACCAACCTCAGAAGAAGCTCCATGTAGAGGCCAAACAAGTCCTATTTAAAGAGAAAAGTGCTCTCTGAATGTTCATAATAAGATTGTTTCAAATCTTTTTAGCCATGGAATATTCCTAATGACCTCAAAGGATGCTGACTAAAGATTACTCCTATGCATTTTACCTATTTCATCAATAAACCTGCCTCAAGGCTCTTAATGTAATATATCGTTACTAACCATTAGGGACCTATCTTCTTCTTCATTTCCATAAGTAGAGTAGAAATAGTTGCTTGGCCACTCGTCAGGCTCTTCAAGGGTTTCTGCAGAGTGTGACATCTCAGTCCAAACTATAAGAAAAACGTGGAGTGTGGCAGTTACTTAACGGTGCTAGTGTATCGTAAGTTAAGAAGTAATGCTAATTAGAAAAGTTAATAACTGAATTTGAAAAATTGGATTAAGCAATCGAATGCAAGCAGCAAATTAATAGAATCTTATCCTGGTCACATTAAACTATTCATAAAATCTTGGAAAAGTCATGTCAATTTTCTCTAACTTGGTACGCTCACCTGTCAAACAAAGGCATTAATACTATTTATCCTCTCTCCATATTGCTATGGAGGCCAAAGCATAGGTGACCTGAGGGAAGTGACCGTTATATGGATTACTGAAAACTGAGCAAGGGTGTTATTCCTTATTTCTCCTCAACTTGTGGGGAATTCTTCCAGACAAAGAACAATTATATTTAAGTATTTAGTATCAGGCATTCTGCTAGGCATTTCTCCAGAGCACTCTATGCTATTGATTTTAGAGTTGTTTAGGTGATTCCTTTGTGTGCTTCTAGAGTACTTTGTACTTCCCTGGTATAACACTTACCCAATTTACTTTTGTTTGTTGAACTATCTTTCTACCCTCCTAGCTTCATGGGGGTGGCAGCTGAGTATATCCTAATTAGCCTGCATACCCAGCACTTTGCATAATTCCTAGCACACAGGTCATGCTGTGTTAATATTTGTTGAATTAAATAAACTGTTTAAAGTCGTTTCAAATAATGCACCTCACATAGGACCAACAAATATTCCAAACTAAATGACTCTTCTCTATTCATTAAACCAAGGGGGTAAGCAAAGTGTACGTTTTATTTATCTCTATATTCCTCTACAGCAGGGATTCCCAAACTTGAGCATACATTTGAATCACATGGGGAGCTTGTTAAAACTCAGGCGGCTTGTTAAAACTCTCTCCCAGAGTTTCTGATTCAGAAGGTCTGGGGTGGAGCCAGAGAATCTGCCTTCTATACAAGTTCCCAAGTGACACTGATGTTACTGATCCAGGGACCACACTTTCACAACCACTGCTCTGTAGTGCCCACCAGAGTGTCTTGCACATGCAAGACGTAAGAGCCTTCTAAAAATGCGTTAACTTTATTTTCTTTATACAAAAATACCAGGCAGGTAGATTTTCCAAATTTACCATGAGAGAGAAAAACTTGCACAGCCACGAATCTCATCTTGGGATGACCATGACACATACCTGCACTTGCTGCCGCCTGACCTGCCAAGATTGCCTCAGAGACCTCCACCATACCGCTAGCGTGTTCTGATTCAGTTTCCTCGAAACGTGCAATAGCTCCCTGCTGCTTTCTGAAATAGTGATGTATAAAAATAAGTGAGCTTTTGTACAACTTAAGAGTAAGAAGAAATTTAAAATGGTATTTCTTTCACCAATATCATGTGTTACAAACATGTTCTGAGAATCCATTCAAGCAGTTGATACTTCTTATTTAAGTCTGTGTGACAATAGCTTATAATATACAAAAGCTTAAATCCTAGGATCTAAGCTGGCAGGTTCTCTCTATTATGTGAGGAAAAAACTACTCCCTTCTAGACTCAAAGAAGGTATACTGTCTACCATTTCTCTCGCTCTGCAGACTTTTAACCTTAATGAATTATGTAAGGTGTGTATAAATGAAGATGAAACTTTCAACTGATACATATTGTTGGGTACCTACTATTAAGTCAATTACTACATGAAAACTAAAGACTTTACTCCTATAAAATAGGATAAAAGATTGAGTATCATAAATTCTGGAAGAAACAGATTTTGTCTGTGACTTTTTCTTTTCTCTTCTTTTCTTTTTTTGCAACAGTCTCAGTCACCCTAGGTAGAGTGCCATGGCGCCATAGCTCACAGCAACCTCAAACTCTTGGGCTCCAGTGATCTCTTGTCTCAGCCTCCCCAGTAGCTGGGACTAAAGACACCCGCTACAATGCCCAGCTATTTCTTTAGAGAGGAGGTCTCACTCTTGCTCAGGCTGGTCCATCTCAACACCCCAGAGTGCTAAGATTAAAGGCATTAGCCACCATGTCTGGCCTTATCTGTGAGTTTTAAACAGTTCTCCTGGAACCCTAAATGAACCACAACATGTTGTACCTTGATTTTAGCTACCTCAGAAAGATGAAGTACAGCAGAGGGAAAAACGTTATTTTTAATAATTCACTCATCCCTACAGCAAGCAGATGCTTTATGGTGAATCTCTATGCCAGATCTCTAGAATCAGTTTGGTAATTCTTTTTTTTTTTTTTTTTTTTTTTTTTTAGGAACACAGTCTTACTTTGTCACTCTCGGTAGAATGCCATGGTATCATAGCCGACAGCAACCTCCAGATCATGGCTTAGGCAATTTTCTTGTCTCAGCCTCCCGAGTAGCTGGGACTACAGGGGCCCACCAGAATGCCCAGCTATTTTTTGTTGCAGGTTGGCTGGGGCCGGGTTCAAACCCACCACCCTCAGTATATGGGGCCGGCACCCTACTCCCTGAGCCACAGGCACTGCCCAGTTTGGGAATTCTTTATGCATATATACAAATTTTCTGTGGTAACTCCACCTTTTAAAATTTCTAGAGGCAGAATACAAAGACCGCATCTCTAAACCAGCAGAGGTCTGCTATCATATAGGACAGCCACCTTCCTTAAAGATGTGCTGGTTGTGTCTAGGCTCAGTTCCCTCCCAGGAGCCATACTTTCTCTCCAACTATGTAAAAAGAGAGGCCAAGTCACGAGCAAATGGTCTCCATTAAGGGACAACAAATCTGTGAGCCAGTCGTTCATCTGTTCTGTTCCCATACTCTTAACAACTCTTTTCCTCCAAATTGAAGGTAACCACAAACACTTTCAAGAGAAAACCATGAGGACAGCCACCTTTCTTGTCAGCCTACATGCAACTCTTCTAATGATGTATTTCAAACAAACCATGTGTAATTGTGTTTAAAAATCAGCCCAGGGGGTAAGTATTAGGAACTGTCAGGCTTTAATACATGTACAAAGCTAGAATTGAGAAAAATGATGTGTTTATGGAATCTGAAGAGTTATCACTAAAGTGATTAACAGTTTTTTTTCTGATTCTTTAATTATGTTGTTTCATGTTACATATGGAAAACAGAAGACTGCAGGAGTGTTATTTCTCAAAGAATAATCACTTACTCATCATTCTGAGAAGAAAGCTGATTCTGCTCTGATAACCCATTCTGTTGTTTTTGTTTTTTAACTGTGAAATAAAAAAAGCTTATATAAGCATCATCCAAAAGCTATACTTCTTACTGCCCTTGAAGGTCAATGACTTTCTCTCTTCCTCTCTCACATACACACATACCACAAACATACCACTGGAATTAGAGTCAACCTTCACAGACTTGAAATAACCAGAAGGAAGACCCATCTGATGTTGGAATTTGGAATGGTCCAAAACATGCAGTATTTTATTCAAAACATCCAAATTTGGAACTGAACCCAGCTCTCACTCCAACATTATCAAGGACTGATTACTTGAGGTCCTGAGCAGAGTTGTCTCTAGGGAAAAACTGGGAATGAACAGCTCACTGTGCTGCTTCTCAACTGCTTATCAGCAAAAGGGTTCATTCATTCTCTAGTGTAAAGTTCATTCTCCAAAAGAGTTTAAACAGCTCTCTGAATCTCAATGGCGTACTAATTAAGAAATCTTTTCATTATAGATAGTATAAAATAAATAAAATCCCCATTCCCTGCAAAAAGCATCAAAAAATTTGAGTCAAAGAGCTGTTACTATACTACTTGTTCTGAAGAAAGCATATTTGAATTTACCTGTCATAAGTTCCTGTTGCTTCAACAAAATATTTCTTATTTCTTTTAACCACAACATCTTTACTTCAACATTAGGAGCCTAAAGATTAAAAAGAAAGGATGTGTTTTCTTTTAAAATGCATGCTCTATAATTAAACAAATGTTAATTGAACGTATTAAACATAATCTAGTACCTAAAACTCCATATTCAAATTCAAACCTTTTGATTCTTAAAATTCCTAAGAATAAAATCATTAGCTATCAGATTAGATGAACTAACAGTCAAAACCATTTTTAAATTGCCCTTATAATGGAACGGTAACTCTTAAGTAAAAATGTGACATATAACTCTACTTATGTTTTTATTTGCAGGAGGCTTCTTTTTGAAATGTAAATATTTTTATGTTTAATTTTAGTAAAATAAAATGAGCTCTACTATTTCTGAAAAGATAATCTATTGTAGAATAATCTTCATGACTGATAACATGAAAGCCTCCTTTAATATCCTCCCATAAATTACAAGATAAGTTTGTTAAATGATATCAAGCAAACCCAGAAAATATATTTTCATAGATGGCAGTCACCTACTACAGCATTTTTAAAACAAACAAAAAACACTGGGTATTTTCAATAGATGATAGCACATTGATAGGTTGTGACACAAATACATATTAAAATGACAACATTCTCTTGAAATGTTCTGATTTATCTCCTATTTCTTGAGATAGGTTGGACTATATAGTATTTGCTCAGGGCTTTACTCATGTTCTTTAGAAGCAAAGACCAGTCTGAACTGTCACATACCTTCATCTTGTAATCAGATACCCTTTGAATGCTGAGCACACGAGAAAATGAGAACTATTACAATTCCGTAACTCTGGAAACTTAAGGTGAACAGAGAAGCACCTGCCAAGCTGCCCACACTAGCTGATAAGTCTCCTAGTATAGTTGTGAACACCTGAATCCCTAGGCAGGGGTGTCCAACCTAAGGGCACACAGCCACATGCTGATTTTGTGAGGACGTTTTTTCTTATCTGTGGTGTCAGATACCACAAAAAGGATGTAAGGACCTTATTTTTGCTAATCAACTTTCATTAGTGTTTGTATATTTAATGTATAGACCGAGACAACCCCTCTTCTTCCAACATGCAGCAGAGAAAAGGGAGATGGACACACCTGTGGCCTCACGACTACCACAAGTAGATCTCAATTTAAAGAAAACATGTACTGGCAAAAAAAAAAAAAAAGAAAAAGAAAAAAGATTTTAATCTATCACAAAGCATATTCAAATAATATTTTAGTGACATACATAAAACAAACAGAAGTTTTTGGTATGTGACCAAAATTATTTTACTTTGGAGATTCAGACTTTTGATTTTTTTTTTTTTTTTGAGACAGTCTTAGTATGTCGCCCTCAGTAGAGTGCTGTGGCATCACAGCTCACCACAATTTCAAACTCCTGGGCTTAAGCAATTCTCTCGCCTCAGCCTCCCAGGTAGCTGGGACTACAGGTGCCGGCCACAATGCCCAGCTATATTTTTGTTGTACTTATTGTTGTTTAGCAGGCCCAAACCAGGCTTGAACCCGCCACCTTCAGTGCATGTGGCTGGCACCCTATCCACTGAGCTATTGGTGCCCACCACAACGCCCAACTATTTTTTTTTTTGAGACAGAGTCTCACTATGTTGCCCTGCGTAGAGTGCTGTGGTGACACAGCTTAAAGCAGCCTCTAATTCTTAGGCTTTAGTGATTCTCTTGCCTTGGCCTCCCAAGTAACTGGGACTACAGGTGCCCGCCATAACATCTGGCTATTTTTTGGTTGGAGTTGTCATAGTTGTTTGGCAGACCTGGGCTGGATTCAAACCAACCAACTCTGGTGTGTGTGGCTGGCACCCTAGCCACTGAGATACAGGCGCCGAGCCCCAGCTATTTTGTTGTTGTTGTCATTGTTGTTTAGCAGGCCTGAGCCGGTTCAAACCCACCAGCCCCGGTGCATGTGGCTGACTCCTTAACCACTGACCTATGGGCACCCAGCCCAGACTTTTTTTTTTTTTTTTTTTTTTTTTGAGACAGAGCCTCAAGCTGTCCCCCTGGGCAGAGTGCCGTGGCATTACAGCTCACAGCAACCTCCAACTCCTGGGCTCAAGCGAGTCTCCTGCCTCCACCTCCCAAGTAGCTGAGACCACAGGCGCCCGCCACAACGCCCGGCCATCCTTTGGTTGCAGCCGTCATTGTTGTTTGGCGGGTCCGGGCTGGGGATTCGAACCCGCCACCTTAGGTGTACGTGGCTGGCGCCTCAGCCGGTTGAGCTGTAGGCACCGAGCCCAGACTTTTGAATCTTAATGAAGGTTTGAGTTTGTAGAAGACTTTTTAAACAACAAACCTGGACAATATAAACTTCTTCTTTCCCGCCATACCAGATTTCAAACTTGCGGTTATCACCTTTTACGTGTTCAGTGATTCCAACTTCATCCATCTATAATAAATCAGCCCAAATTTTCATAAGCATTTTAACTATGAAATTAGATTAAATCTACCCCATCATCATCTAAATGAAACAGAATTTCTCAGGTGTATAAAATATACATTTTATGTTCAATGAGTATGAAATGATAAGTACAATCATAGACAAGAGTATTTAAATTTTGTCACTGAATGATATAATTTATAGCTCAGATTGCATGCTCCATTCCAGTGATTGACACAACTGTTATAAATCTGAACATCTAAGTATTCAAATGATGATCTGAATCTGACCATCTATGATTCAATTCTGTTACAAATTATAGTATTAAAACAAATTATTGTGTCAAACGCAGAAGTAATTACATCAGTGAAAAAGTCTACCCCAAATTAACTTAAACCATTGTTTAAAATTATTTGCCAGGTCACTGAATCTTAAAATTATGGCTTACCTCCAAAGAAGTCCTACAAGTAATACACATCTAATTTATGGGGTGGGGGAGAACCAGACGGGTACACAAGGATCTATTTCCACCAAGCCCTCAGCCTCTCTAGAAAATAATCTGTGGTGGGACAGAGGTGTTTCCTTGCAGACAGTGAAATTTTGTATGCAACATCTCTTCTTTCCCACAGATTTTCTTCTTCTCCATATGACTGTGCGAAAGCACGAACTCTTCCATTTGCTTTCACTGTTTGCTGCTAACAGCTTGGGTAATTCCATTTTGACATATTTCACTCCCTTTTACACATTCTTTTGTGGTTCCTTTCTACTTTTCCTATTTTCTTTCAATTTCTGTCTAATTATGTAAAGGAATATCTCACTCTCTGTTCCAATTATGAGCCCTCCAAAAGACCCTAATTAAAACTGTTAAGCATTAAAAGTAGTGCTAGTTAGCTCCTCATACCAAGAAGGAAACAATTATGCTTAGAAATGAAATGTAACTTATTAATTAAAGACCCTATGATATCCACCCTGAATGTAATCAGAAATTACTTTGGCAATGTTCCAAAATATTTTTATATTCTTACTTCACAACTTTAACTAACCTACTTCTGCTCAAATATCAAAATTTAAGATAAATAATAATCTCACATTTAATTTTTTTTTGAGACAGAGTCTCACTATGTTGCTCTCAGTAGAGTGCTGTGGGATCACAGCTCACAGCAACCTCAAATTCTTGGGCTTAAGTGATTCTCTTGCCTCAGCCTCCCAAGTAGCTGGGACTATAGGTGCCCACCACAACACGTGGCTATTTTTGTTGTTGTTGCTGTCACTGTTGTTTATCAGCCCCGGTGAATGTGGCTGGTGCCCTAACCACTGAGCTATGTATGGCTCAGTGAAATAATAATCTCACATTTAATTTTTTTTAAATAATTTTGCTTCATTATATGGTTTTGTCTTTTTTTCATTTTTTTTATTTCAATTGATTTAGGGCTACAAGTAGTTTTTGGTTACATGGATGAATTATACAGTAGTAAAATTGGGCTTTTAGTGTACCTGCATGAAAAACTGTAAAGCACATAGGCTTTGCAGTTAAGAGAGGCCTGGGTTACAATTCCATCACTAATATTCACTAGCTATGCATCTGGGCACAAGTTGCTTAGCTTTTCTAAATTTCAGTTTCCTCAACTATAAATGGGAAAGATACCTATTTCATAGTTGATAATATTTTTTTGTTGTTTTGGGGGGGGGGTTTGCCGTTTTTGGCCGGGGCTAGGTTTAAACCCGCCACCTCTGGTATATGGGGCAAGCACCCTACTCCTTTGAGCCATAGCTGCCGCCCTGATAATAATATTTTGAAATAAAAAAATTAAATCATGTACATTAAATGCTTTGATCATATAGTAGGCTTTTAAAAGCATGCATTTGGTTTCTAGTCTTTCCCCTATTTCAATTGAAATAATTTTGTTATTTTTCACTGTGGACATATAACACATCAGGTGCCCTGGAAATCTAATCATTAAACCTGGTTAGCAAGCACGTATGCATGTTAGTTAAATTAAAAGATAAATGACAATAATTTTAAACATATGAACTGAGGAATCTAAAAGACTTAAATCCCACATCCTTCCATCTGACTAACTATGACCTTAGACGGGGACTTTTTTGCATGTAAGTGGCTGATTGAAAATATTTCATATAGTCATTAGAAAGTACGTGGTCAGGCCACAGGATTCCAGCATGCTATGATGCAGTCAAGACAAGAGCCCATTTACAATGAGACAGAAGTTACTCAGCAGTAGAGTATCCATGCTGATCTTCTCTTTCAAGGCTCAAGATTTGGAAACCAATAACTCTAATTGTTGAGCAACACACTGACTAGTGATGCTAGCAATTGCTTAATGCTGAAATCTCATGATAGGTAAGCAGGAAGCAGTAATCCCAGCGAGCCCTAAGAAATATCCTAATTTCCATCTTTCTTCAGTCAGCAGTACTATTGTTTTCCCAGTAATCCTCATCGAAAGCCTTGTAGGCATCATTAGTCTTTATTATTAAGGATACTAGGTATTTGTGGTGAACTAAAAAAGCACACAGATTTTCTTCCTTCAAACGTCACATATTATTTATTTCCTCTATCTAGTAAGTCACGAAGCCCATCTGTCTACCCTCCATTGAAATGTTTCTCATATCTATCGTACCCTGTTTCCATGGCAACAACTGTCGTTTCAATTCTCATGATTTCATCATCTCATACGGGTCCTCCTTACTTTAATGTACGTTATGGAAGAATATGCTCATGAAAAATAAATAAAGTGGGAAAATGAGGGGAAAACTTTTGTCCGTTTTCCAAATTTTCTATAACAAATGTTCTATTGCTTTTAGAAATTAAAACTTGAAAGATAAAATTCACTGGGTATAAAAAAATCAAATTCATCAAAAATAACCTCATGTGAATCAGAAATTCCTCTTGTCTAATGACAAAACTAGCTGGCAGTATCAGTGAGTTGCCAGTGACTTCCTCAAATAGTACTGCTCTCATTTTAATACCAAACTAATATTGGGACAGACTGGAGGTTTTATTCATAGGAGATAATACAGTAATTTCAAAAGATACAACAGGACAAGTGCAGAAAAGGATTCAGGGGTGAGGGGCTTTGGACACCCAGAAAGAATAGAGAGAGTAGAGCTAGAGAACGGAGGAGGGACAAAAGGAAGATGGGCGCATAGGAAGCACAAAAGTTATCCATTTTTAAATTGCATTGAGGAAAATGAAGAAACTCTTTCCTCTATGTCTCGCCTGTAACAAAAAGCTCTTTGCTAATAAGACCAAGAATTCAACCCAGTAAGAGCAGAAAGAGAGTGCTCATGGGGGAGCCTGAGACAGTCCCCATAATTTCAAATTGTGCTCTGCAGGATGCTAGGGAGCCCCTGGGGAAATGCCTAGGATTGCAGTGAGAGAGGAAAGGATTTGATTCCTATCAAAGCTATGCATTGCTGCACTCTCATTTTAAGCAGGGAAGTTCTGCTTTACCTGACTGCTACTTAAAAATTTTTTAAAAACAAATAGATATGCAGCTAAAGGATAAAACCCATTCATTTGAAACGAAAAAGTATACAAACTGGGATGCACACACAAAATAATATCACATTACACAATTCAAATTGTCTTACTTTCAAACAGTGCTTAAAACTGTATGACGGGTATCTGTCACAGCCTTCTCCAGTTTCAACACGTCTTTTACAAAAAACAACAGCTTTCTCATATAAGAAAAGATGTCGCTGCATTGGTTTGAATCTAGCAAAATCCTTCATTTTTGTAGCACCTTTCTTGTGTCCTGTCCAAACACTGAATCCACCTTGCATTATCATCTTGCCCAGCTCATTTAAGTTTCCCTAGAATGGAAAATCAAAACCCATTAGTACAAGGCAGAACTACAGTCACATCTCTGACATTAACACTTTAGTGTTTACCTTGAGCTACTAAAGCCCTCAAGGATAGTTTATATCTTTTTTTTTATTTATGTTTTTAGAGAAACATATTCACTCTGGCTGGGCATTGTGGCTCATGACTATAATCCTAGCACTTTGGGAGGCTGGGGTGGGAGGATCCTTTAAGCTCTGAGCAAGAGCGAGACCTCATTTCTACGAAAAATAGAAAAATTAGCTGGTATTGTGGTGGCACCTATAGTCCCAGCTACTCAGGAGGCTGAGGCAGGAGGATCACTTGAGCCTAGGAGTTTGAGGGTGCTATGAGTGAGGCTGATGCCATGGCACTCTAGCCTGGGCAATGGAGTGAGACTGTGTCTCAAAAAAATATACATATATATCCATTCTAACTATTTACATTAAAACATGCTATACATCACATACGTACAAAGTTCTGTAGGGGTAGGAGATAAAAGAAACTTCCTTTACTCTGGCTTCACATCATCTCCATATGGCAGGATTTCAGCTAGTGTAACTCTCCCCATGACTTTTTCAATCCTGACTGGTTTCCCCACTGGGAGTTGCTAATCTGTTAAAAGGCTGCAAGCTCTAAAGATGTGATCTGTTTCTTCCATATCTACCTGGGACCAGAGCAAGCTCAATTCTGGGACAGTACGTCTCCCTCCAGGTCTGGACTGGGGGCGGGGGGTAGGCTGTTGAGGACAAAAGGAATCTTACGAATCCATTTGGCTGCTGATCTGAAGCCAATTCTCCACTTAGCATTATCAGTAATAATGCTAACATTCTGATCTACATTTATCTACTTCTTACAGGTCATTTCTCAATTGGTTCCAGAAGCAAAGGAAAGGGATATTGACATGTTGACCTCCTAAAATTCCAACAATTATTAACATCTACTTACAATATAGCCATTTATTGCGATCTGATGCATAGAGTCATTAACTGCCTTCAGTAAATCCAGCATTGTGTCAAGCGCCTCTTTTAATTGAGTAGTTCCTTCACTTTCTTTGCTATATTTTAATAGCTCCTGTAATTAAAAATCAGGAATGAAACCAATATTAGGCAGATATTAATAGCTAGTGAAGATGAATAAGCTTTTGGCTACCATGCTTTCAAGTAGAAATCTGAAGATAATGTCACGTTTTGGAGTAATTTCTTTCTTTTATATATGCTTTGTCAAGTTAATACTATTTTTAATAACAATGTAAAACTTGAGAAAGAAGCAGAATGGTGACTGAACAATATAAAACAAAGGACATTCAATACTTTGGAGCTGAAGAATAATCACTATTGAGACACATTAGAAATTAGTTTTTAATGCAATTACACATTTTTTTCATCGTCTACATATAATTTGTTTTATCCATCATGCATATAACGTGAAACATTACAAAATGCATTTTAAAATGAGCTATGTTGTATTTATACTTAATACACAATTTCAGTCATTTGCATTTTTCATTGAGAAGGCCCATATGATACAGCCTCAAAACTATAGGAAATGTTTGTTTAGTTCTTCTCAGCAATATTAAAAGTTCTTCTGGAAAATATTATGCATAAAGCAACACAACTTGTATGAAGAATTAACTAGGTAAGACTCCAGATAGTCCAGCCTAACATCTATGCCTATGACATTTGCACAGCCCCAGTGAATTGAAGGAGCATGCTGCATTAATTCTACTGCTAAATTCACCCCTCCTAGTCACTGAGCCTACCTAATTCTAGTGCTTCCTAGTCAGCTACTTCCTTTTTAATTGCTTTGCCATATCTGACCCCAAAAAGAAAGTAAAGAAGGAAATAAATGTTTTACATAATTACCTTCAACAACAACTGATATTTAGTGATTCGCTGCACTGGTTTGAGTAAATAGGAATCCAGACCAAGTCTGTGTTTTAGTTTTCTTTGACATTCCTATCATTGAAAAATAATTATCAATAAATTTAAATTAGGACATGAATCTGTGAAAATGCCAAGTGTTCATTTATTAAATCTCAATGAAAACTGATCAGGAAATTCACTGTTACATATGGTATGGAAATTATAAGACAGTATGTCTTAGAAACTACAGCAAACAGCATTTCAAGGATTTGAAAGGTAGAAAATTCCAACATTTTAAAGATTTAAAAGTTTTCACATACTGTATAAAATTCACTTTGATACTGAATGCGTAAAAGGTGAGAAAGCAAGGAATGACTATAAATTAACATGATTTAAAAGTTCAATGTATCTAAAAAAGTTAAAAAAAAAGATAAGCTCTACAGGCCAAGGCCCAGAAAAGAAAGAGGTTGTACTGAATATAAATCAGACTGGATATGAGAACAGAATTTCTTAATATCACAAGAAAAATACAGCCCTCATGCTATATTTCATCCAGTAATTGGCCCACTGCCACTATCAGCATAAAGGTCGTGACACTGGATCCTGGGAACATTGTAGGGCCCATAATTAGGGAAAGATAGAGCTAGTTAGAATGACATGTGTGTACAAGAAGTATAGAACAAAAAGGGATTAGGAAAGGATGTACCTGAAGAAGATTTAGGGCCCCCCTCTGGGTATGAATAAAGGGGGAGGAGAGCAGTTGGTGGGAGGAGGGAGGGCATTTGGTGGGCTCTCGCCTAATGTGCACAATGCAAGAGTAACCTTCAAAATGACTAAGAGTAAATTATAAATGTCTTACCACAAAAAATAAGGGAGATGATGGTTCTATTAATAAGTTCCACATTGTATATCAAATCATCACATTGTATTCCATAAATGTATACCGTTATGATTTAATAAAAATTTAAATTAAAAAATTCCAACACACAACCAAATTCAAACAAAATTATCACTTTATAGTTAAATATGATAGATTGATACATGCATTTAGAACTCCTCACTTGTGAAGCTCAACTAAAATGATGAAAAAGTTGTTTCTCAAAGGAAAGAAGCAAAAGTTACAAAGAAAGCAAGAAAGGAGAAGGCTTCTGCAAAATTTAGCAACTGAAAACCAAACCAACAAATGGTGAAAAACTAAGCACACTAGAGAAAACTAGATCCTTATACCCAAGGTAGCAGGTTAGGGAATCTGACCAGCTTAAGAGCAAGGACCTAAAAATACTAATATTGGGGATTACCAATAAAGAAGCAGGCTAAGACACATCACTCAATAATGAGGATCGTGGTCAATAAACCCACACATGTACAGGATACTTCTCATGAGCTATCTAATGCTTATTCTTAACATACGTAGACAGATAAGCACCACTAGACATTTAAGGATTGCAAGTAAGATGGGTGACAAGCACCAAGTAAAGTAAAAAAGTTAAAATTTTTTGAAGACAACAGAAACCTTGTAGGGAGAAGAAGGCTATTTTTTAAATGAAAATCTATTATTATCCTTCAGTATATAACTGAAGATTTTGAATTCACAAAAACAGGATTCTATTAAAAGAAATATTGGGGGAACAAAATAAAATGAGGGCTCTGCCAAATTAAAAATATAATGGCAGAAATGAGATTCTCCATAGCAGGACTGGAATATAAACTCCAGGAAGTAGAGGAAGATGACAAAGAATAGATAAGAGATAGAAAAGATAAGATAATTAGAGAACCTGTCCAGGATATCCAGCACCTGTATAATAGAAATTCTGGAAAGAGAGAATGGGGAAAATTGGATGGAGGAAATAAAAAAAAAAAACTGAGTAAATGTGAACAAGTGTTTCTAAATTCAAGTGATTACCACAAGACTAGCAAATGGGTGATGATAGTACCAACATTCAAACCTGAGGATCAGAGAAGTTACTATAAGTTTTCAGGAGACAAAAATTAGGTCACCTGCAAAATAAAACAAAATCAAAATAGCATCAAATTTGTGAACAGAAACAATGGAAGTGAGAAGACAATGGAGATATACTTTCAAAATTCTGAGTATAATTATTTTTCTTTTTTTTTTTTTTTTTGCAATTTCTATCATCTCTTCTCCTTCTATGAGTATAATTTTCCTTACATAGAACTCTACAGCCAGCCAAGCTAACAACCTAGTGTTAGGGGAGAATGAGGACATTTGCAAACACACACTCTCAAAAACGTTTACCTACTGTGCACACTTTCACATTAAAGCTACTGGAGGGTGTGTTCCACCAAACAAGAGTGATAAACAAGAAATATGAAGACACCTCTGCAGCAGGAGACTCTATGGAACAGACAAGCGAAAAGAATCCCAATGGTGAAATTCACCAAGATCCCCAAAGGACAGCTGTGAACAGGCCTAGTGCGTCTAGATGTGCAGATCAGAAAATTGCAGGAGAGATTTCTTCAAGATGAAATTTAAAAGAAACAAAAAGTGTTTACATTTACTGAGAAGAGGTTTTTCTTACTCACAACTGGGAGAGGCGGGATAGGATAAGGATAAGAACCTAGAAAACTGAGTAAAAAGAATTGCAAGGTAAACGAAAGGGAAGGAAAAACAAACCATGTTATATATCACATGACTCATCTGAGCAGACAAGTTATATAGTGGTAGTAAATCACCTCAGTATATCAATCTAATGAAAATTACAGTATAACTATATTGGAAGAAAATCATTCGTGTATGTGGTAGGGGGTGGGAATCACAAAAAGAGAGAAAATTGCCCCCTTCCACGGTAGAAAGGAGAGAGATAAGCATGTCATTTGGAGATATCAAAGTAAATACCAAAAGATGTAGCTGAAAGTGCAGTTGCCTCTAGGGAGCAGCAAATATTTGTTTATGTGTGTTTATACACATGTACATGTGGAAGGGTTTTGGAAAAGGTAGAATTGCTCTTTAACTTATATGCATGTATAACTTAAAGTTGAAAATAAATTTATAAATAGGAAATATCCCAATATCTTCCCGAAAGAGTACATACAATACCCGAGTAATTACTTTACCTGGAAAAAGGCGCATTCTGAGAACTTTCTCCAAATTGCTTCTGATCTGGGCTTATTCTGACAGTATTTTGCATACATCTGAAAATCATCCTTCTGTGATAAACAGCAAATTCAAGCATATTACCAATTTGTGAACATGAACCTTTGTTATCAAGAAAGGCTGACCAAGAGGAGGTATGGCCAAGCATCCCAGGCAATGTGACCTAAAGGGCCGGCTGTAGCAGCAGCTGGTCAGGAGACCTTTCTGTTTTTTAAGAACAAAATGTTCATTGGACCTGGTGGAGGGATACGTAATTATCCAAGTGGTATCAGAACTTCCACTTACCAAGCTTGAGTCTTAGATAAAGAAAAGCCTTTTCTGTCTCAACTACAAAAACAGACTTTTTTCTTCTAACTATGAGCTAATAAGGTACGAAGATATATTTTTTTCTATGTAATTAGTCTTTCAGTTCCCTAGTGGATGAACAGATAACTTCCACATTAGGGCCAGCAGTCCTTCTTAACTGGGACATTATAATGATAGCATAACCCATGTAGGTTTTTGCCTATGTTACTCTCTGTTCCTCTTCCTCTTCTCTCTTCATCTTTCTCTGACCCTCACCTAATAAGCTACCTCCTACTTATTCTTTAACATTCATCTCATGAGCCATCATTCTATAAAGCCATTGTTTTTACTACCAGTCTATGTACAATATCCGAATTCTGGGCCCTTTGGCTATCTCTAATATAATGCAACTCGCTCTGTATACAATTAATGATTTCCCTACTTTTATATCGAAATTTTCTTGGGTTTGGTATCCATATTGCCTAACACAGCACTTGGTGCACAGCAGATTATTAAATAAATGAACACATCATCAATAAATATTTATCAAATTATTACTGGGTGCCAAGAACTCTGACCTTATGACAGATACAAAAATAAATAAGATATGAATCCTGGCTTGAAAGGCTTCCCTCCAAGTTGGGGAGAGAATTCATGTATACATATAAACATGTACAGTAAATATAAAATCTCCAATGAGGAATATACATATTACATACTACAGAATCAGATGGGAATATAGGCCACTGTTGCTTGAGGAAGGTAGGGAAGCATTTGGTCATAGTTTAAATGTGTTTAAAGGTAGAACATATTGAGAAAGGTAATGATATATTTCTTTCTTAGCTTTATTCTCTTCTCATTTCATAAACCTTTTCTGGGATACCTATTTTGAAGTTTTCAATAATCATCTCTATCGAATTGATTCCCAAATCAAGACAAAACTGATCTTTCAGGAAGAGGAAGAACTAGATAAGCAGGGGAGCATATGCAAAGAATATCCTGAGGGAAAACTCTAATAGAGGAGAGGATGATCGCTAACCTGGGAAGTCAATTGTACTAAGCACACTCTTGGGACACTGAATAATGAGACTCCCTGAATGAATTTGTTGAATAGGAAGAATCAAGGGCTCTGTTTTTGTGAAGTTCCTGTGATAGATGCCTTGGTGGCTAAAAGCCAGAACAGATTGGATTCTAAAACTCTACATGTATTAGAGGGGAATGTCACAAAGCATCTTGTAGGCAAAAAATTAACCAAACCCAGAATGGTTTTACTAAGATGATCCCTACGGTCACGTTTTCATAGTCAGGGGGGTCCTGTGAATTCTAGGATGACCCAGGGGTCAGTGGTCATTAGCTGAGCCACTGAAGCATTGATACCACAGAATACAATGAGCATTTGCACGCTCTGAAAACCCCAGTGTGTCAGTTTCTACAACAAAACGTAGTTTGGCATTAAATACTTGCTGGAGTGATTGTTTCTAAAAATACAAAGACATAAAAAAATACCTATCTTATCTTCAAATCTAGTCTTATAAATGAGCTGCTATTTTGGTGGCCTGTACTCATATATTAAAAAATATAATAACTTAACTAACCCTTTCCAGGAAACAAGGTCCCACTCGTTCAGGGGCATCAGTACAAGTTTCCAGGCTGCTCATGAAAATGCTGTGAAATTATACAGAAAAAAAAAATCAGTCAACAGCCCTTTAAATAATTTCATGAAAAACAAATATTTAAGTCAGCAATTATTAATACATACCTATTATGGAACTCATATATTTCTGCCATATTTCCAAAGAGAACATCCTTTTTATTTCTCAAGAGAGGTGGCATAAGATCAAACATCTCTGGATTATCCATCTCTGCTCTATAGCCCTATCCAAAAAAATACATTTATGTATTTAAAAAATGTACTTTTACATCTGATTGGACCACCAAAGGTATGGGCGCAGCAGAATATATAGGGGATTTGTGGGTTAAGTTGTTTGAATTTTAACATTCAAATGAACTATTTTCCAAAGTTATCCATGACTTCCTTTTTTAGATGGCAGGACAAGAAAGTCAGTATTTTCCACTCAATCGGCAGACTAAAGTGACAACTCTTGGGTCTTCAGAGTATCTTGTAGTACAGGAAACAAAAAAGAAACTCTAAGTATGAAAAAATACGTTACAGGTCGTCAACTTTTCCTTGAAGTGGCAATGTGTTTAAGTTTTTAAGACCAAATTAACATTATGACATTTTTTGTCAAATGAATACTTTTATCCCATTCTCAGTTCTATACATCACAATCTCTGAATAGTACCCTGGGGATAACTGTAACAATCTGCTGCCTCCCTGAGAGAACAGTAATAAATTCAATCATTCTCACTACTCAGGGAGAACTTGAATATACACATTTAACCAACATGCAGCCTCAAACAATAGAGGAAATGCACACTGCTGCCATGTGAAGGAGACTGAAATAGAAGATTTCCCTACACTCTTTCTCATCAATGAAGCAATGGCTCATTTAGGAAAAGATGGGAAAAGTACAACTTGAGTCACTCACCAACAAAACAGTAAACAGCTCTCGAACGTACACCCTCTCGGTCTGTATCAGCTCATTTAGGACATATCTAAAATGAAAAGACCATACTTATTTTATTACTTGAGAATTATTTACATTGTAAATATTAATTGTCGAAGACAAAAGTAGTTAATGCGTAGGAACTACTAATGGTTTTGGTTTTATCATCAAAATAAGAAATTATACCTGTTTTATTTTTTGTTGTTGTTGTTTTGTTTTTTAAAATATGGGTGTCCTGCTGAGGCTGGTCTCAAAGTTCTGGCCTCAACTGATCCTCCCACCTCAGCCTCCCAAATTGAATTACAGACATAGTAAGCCACCATGTCTAAAAGTACTTTTATGATCTCTAGACTAAGTATCACCCATGAGACTCTTTAATGTTATGAAAGAAAGGCCAGGCATGGAAAGTCATGCCTATAATCTCAGTGGTTTGGGAGACTGAAGTAGGAGCATCACTCAAGGCCAGGAGTTTGAGACCAGCCTGGGCAATGTAGTGAGACCCTGTCTATACAAAAAATTTAAAGAATAATTAGCCAGGCACAGTGGTGCACGCCTATAGTCCCAGCTACTCAGTTGGCTAAGGTGGGAATATTGCTTGAGCCCAGGAGTTCAAGGTTATAGTGAGATACGATACAGCCTGGGTGACAAAGCAAGTCCTTATCTCCAAAAAATAAAGAAAGAAAAGAAAGAAATCATATGTGTGTGTGTGTGAAAGAAAAGGTTATTATTAACCTTAACGAATCCTTTATTTCTAACTCACTGAGAATCAATTTCCTAAAACCTCACAAAATCTATCATATTTTATTTATTTATGTATTTTTGGACAGTATAATTTGAGTTTTAGTATCCTTTCCTTCTCTGAAAAAACTAATATTAGCATTTTATGCACTTTTTTCCCCTTTTCCCAGTAATGTTCTGAAATTTTCTAAGAGTTACAGTAGACATGGGTCTTTCTAAGTGTAGATCATACTGAAGTTTCTCTAATAATTTTGTTTACATCCTCTGTAAAACACATTTTCTTTTCCATGCGATTTCCAATTGATGTCATACTTAAAATATATTCTCCTTCTCCCTAAGTAATCCATTTGATTTAACTTCTACCTTTGGCCCCTTTTTTCCTCTCTTTTACACATTTTATGTTTTTGTTTTTGTGTTGAGACAGAGTCTCACGTTGTCACCCTGGGTAGAGTACTGTGGCATTGTAGCTTACAGCAACCTCAAACTCTTAGGCTCAAGCAATCCTTTTGCCTCAGCTTGCCAAGTAGCTGGGACTATAGGCACCTGCTACAATGCCCAGATAATTCTCTTTCACATTTCAAACCTTTAACATTAAAAAGTCTTTGATATAAAATTTAAAAGGTGAATATTCTTATATCTAGAATATGAATATAAAATTGTAAAAGTGAACAAAACAGTGATTATTGTTAATATCCATAAAAACACTACATGCATCTATATAATCCTTTGTGGTTTCTGATGTACTGCCTCGGTCATTTTTACTCCTTTTTTAAAAGGGCTGGCGTTGCCAAATGGTACAAACTTTCAGTTATGTAGGATGAATAAATTCTGGGGATCTAATGAACAGCATGGTGACTATAGTAAATAATACTGTAGTACTGTAGTAAATAATACTGAAAAGTTCTAAGAGTAGATCCTAACTGTTCTCATGACAAAAATAAAGGTATTCATGTGGTGACAGATGTATTAACTAACTTGATTATGGTAATCATTTCACAATATATACATATATCGAAGTATCACATTAGATAATTTAAATATATAGAATTTTGTCAGTTACTGTTCAGTAAAGCTAAAAGGAGTGATGGATATGCTAATCACTTTGATTTGATCATTACACATTATATACATGTGTTGAAATATACTACATAACATAAATAAGTACATTAAGTCAATTAAAAATAATAAGAGGAAAAGAAACTAAAAAAACCAACAAACAAAAATTTTTGTTTTCTTTCCCAGTCTGTGGGGAAATAAAGGAGTTGAAAATTCTGAAAAAGTCTAATTTTCCTCAAATCATATAAACATAGGTTTGTTTAGCCCAGCCTATATCCAGGATTTCTGACACCTGTACTTTTTATTGCACCCAGTAAAAACCCATTCTGTGAACTCAAAATTCTAAGTACATTGGCCTTGAACACTGAACCAGAGTCTCCCACCCGTAAATGAGTATGTGAGCTTATAGTAATAAATAAATAAATAATACTTCTTTAAGACATCCAAACTATTATCGTTTTCCAAACTGGAGGATTGACCAGAACTTCTCTTCTCCTGGCAATCATGCACCACTTCGATCTGAAATAAGGAAATTTACAATTAAATTGGCATCTATGCAGGGATAGTTCCTCTTCAAGGATATCTAGCTCAGGTTAGATTTACTCTAGGTCCTAATTGTGTAGACAAATTAAAAAATAATACTATGCTTTTTTTCAAACATAATTTGGATATGTACCAATAAAAAAATCATCTGAGTTGCCTGAGGACAGACTGAAGATTGTAATCAGAATTTATTTTATACATTAATTTTTCATTTATTTGACACTCTTGGGAAATAAGGTTCATTCATTAAAAGTTGATTTTCCAGATAACTGAAGTTTATTCATAAAGAACCAAAATAGCATTTAACCACAATGATTTTTTTTCATGGAAATATTTCCAGAAAATATTTCATGCATCCTTTAATTCTTTCATCAAGGACACACAACATAATCAATCCTTCTTCAATGGTATCACCATACATTTGAATATGGTAAAAGATATTGAGGCATTCCAGGCCTAAGACCTGAAGAACTGTCTATTCTTTCTCAAAATAGCTGTAACCTGTGCATCTGTCTCTACACTCTGCCACATGTCTATTGTTGCTATAAATGGCCTCCATGATCCTAAAGTGCTGCCTTATTTTACAGACTCTAAAGGATTTGTACTGGCCTACTGAGTGAACTGCATGAGATTTATGATGGCTATTTGCACTGAAGAAGCATTCGAAATATATTTCTGGGATACGAGATCTATCAGACAGCTGAGCTTACCTAACCTCCAAATGAATGTAGCATTGCTTTATGACAGCTAGAACCCAAAATGAATACATGTGGAAAGAAACAAATATTTATTATGACATTCTATATATTAGGCAGGTACTGTCCTAGGTATTCAGCACACATCATTATGATGTGTAATCTAATCTACACAGCAATTTAGCAAGCTATTGCATTCTATTAAACATGAAAAAATCGAGGCTCAGAGAGATTCAGTAACAAAGTAAAAGTTGCATACTTTGTAAGTGACAAAACAGAGTCAAGCCCAAGTGTCAAAGCCTTTATCATGCTCCCTCATTCATGGTATGCTTTGATTTGTTACGTCTGGCAAATGTGCCAACCATCATTTTAATACTATAATGAAAACTCAGAATACTGCATACTCCACTTAACAGATAAGTATGCACCATTTATTCCTAACAGGTTTCTGAAATACAGGTATGGAAAGATTTGAAACATAAAGTTAGACTTTTAAATACCTAAGGATGCTCCAAATTGATTTGGAAGACTGCAGCTTGGAACTAACTCTGTTTACCAGCTGCAACCCCACCAAAAAAACGTACAGAGCCACAGCCTCATTACTTTATCCCTGGGGATTTACAACTGAATAAATCCGTGTAGAGGAATGACTTGAAACTAAAACCAAAAGACATGTAAAACTGTGAAACTGGCATTCACCCTATATCTTTCTTTAGACCAGTAGTTGTGACTGTACAATATGATAACCAAGTGTGGTATATCAGTATAGGCCACTCACTAGGCAGCTAATGATTATATTAAAAATACTATTATGGGAGGGTCTTTATCTGATACAAGCAATCAATGTAACCTGGTTCTTTGTACCCTCAATGAATCCCCAACAACCAAAAAAACTTAGAACATTACCATATGCCACACATTACTCATTTTGTCTCTACACAAACTCCATGATGGGGGTGTTCTATCCTTATCTCCATTTATAGATAAGAAGGCTGAGTTCCATAGAACTTGCCCAATGGGATTAAAAGCCAGGCAATCTAGTTCTAGAGTTGTACTACTATGCAATACTTTAAATATGCCCCTTAAAAATATGTTTTTGTCTTTACCATTCAAAGTATGCAAAGAAAATATTGTATCTTATGGCTATGATGAGGCTATCATGGATAAGTGAAAAGGAAGGAATCTTGTATCAGTCAAGAAATGAATAGGCCTGGTGTGGTGATACATGCCTGTATTTGGGAGACTGACCTGGGAGAACTGCTTAAACCCAGGAGTTCCAGACTGCAGTGAGCTATGAGCACGCCTCTGATTAGCTAATGCAATCCAGACTAGACAATGCAGCAAGACTTTATCTCTAAAAAAACTTAACCAAAAAAAAAAATATTTGAAAGAAATTAATGGGTGTGTGTGTGTGTGTGTGTGTGTGTGTGTGTGTTTTAGCTCAGCGTTAGCCTGTGTGTGGTCCATTAGAGCCGTTCCACTGTGCTTCACACTTGCAAGACTGGAATTGCCCCTTCTCTAAAAAAAGTGCAACACTTAGGTAGGTGTACTGAGGTGGAGGCGGGTAGTAGTGAAGAGAATCTGGGATTTATATGAGATGTTCTACAGAAATCATTCTGAACTCGAGCCAGGACTTGAGAAATTGCTCATACTGAGAAAGTGGCATATCTGGAGATATGCCAGCAAGGCAATTAGACACAATGCGGCAGCAGCTTTTTTTTTCTTTTAGATTAAATAGGCTTTCAAATGCACAGTATTAGTATAGTGAATGAAAAATACAGCTTAAGCCCCCATACTGACTCTGCAACTATAGCAATAAAGAGCAATAAAGTCAATTTTGAATTAATTAATGATATTTACTTTTAAGTTGTTCTGATTTTGTCTCCAGTCCTTCTTCCCTGGTAGAAAAATAAGAAAGAAGAATTTCAAACCAGAATTAAAGTCAGCACTTTTAATAAAAATACATGTATGTTCATTAAATCATTAGAGAGTTAATATTCCAACATGTTTATATTAGTATTTTTAAACTGCATTCTAGAAGACAACGATTGGTTATAACTACCTACCTGATTTCAACTTCTTATTGAGCATGATTTTTGCCATGTACTCACCCAGTCTCTCATTTAGCAAATATTCACTTACTTGCTGAGCATGGAGCTTGGTGTTAGTGCTGATAATTATTTGCAGATTTAGTGCTCGTTTTGACACATAAACATTTAATCAGATTTAGTGCTCATTTGGACACATAAACACTTAATCAGGTTGCAGCTCATTGATAAACTAGATTAAAAATTTTGAAAGAATTCTAAATTTAACCTAGCAATGAGAGTATCTAACATTTATCTGGTACTTTCTACATGCTAGGCACTATTCTAAATGCTAGGCATGTGCTTTCTTTTTTAATCCTCAAAACCATCCCTAAGAAGTAGGTAATGACTTCTATCCCCCCTTTATAAATAAGGAAGAATATTATTATCTTGTCCAAGAATTGAAATAGTATTCAAGTCCATACAGTCTACTGTATACATGATTCTACCCACTATAGAAAACATTTCCAAATAATCTTTAATCTTTATTTTTTAAAATGTTCAGTTTGCAAAGAATAAGCCACCGTACTATTAAGCAAGGAGTTCAGATGTTTTTACAAAGCCAGGGACATGGTCCAATCAAAGACTAGATTCTTTAATTCCCTAATTCTCAGGGCTGCTGAAAAGGCTGTCACCCACACAGGCTGCATGGGTCGCCTCTCCCCATGAAAGGAACATACCTTTTGTCCTTCTCTCCTCTGCAGAAGCTGGCATCAGGCACACTCAGGGAAATGATGTGATGTTATGTTCTCTAGACCCTAGTCCTCACTTTTATTTATTAAAACATATTTCATATCAAAATTTCATGTTTATGTAGTCATATATAAATTGTATTAAATGTAGTGGGTACTGCCGTATCAAATCAATTTCTCAAGAAATGCTGATGTGCCCCACTTCAAAGAAATGTTATATATAGAGATTCAAATTTATTTCTAAAGGTAACACAGGGAGCAATTATTAGTTCTATTAATTAATTCTTTGCCAGTACATTCGGCGATGCAAAAGGAATGTATACACAACTTACAAGAAAGGCATCTGTTTCTGAAGAGCAAAATAGATTTATCCATTCTTTCAACAATGTAAATCTATATAAAATGACTGAGTACCTACACTAAGCTCTGGGTTTGGGGTTACAAAGATGAACTGCACACAGTCCCTGACCTTACAGAGCCTTCAGTCTAACAAGAGAGTCAGAAAACAGACAATTACATAAAGCTGAGAAGAATGCAAGGGGGCTTGTTATCACATAGCATGAAAACCGAACCAAACAGGAGTGCAGGGGAAGAGAGAGGTGTGGAGGAAAAGATTACCTAAAGGAAGTGGCCTAGGGACTGGAAATCTGATGGAGGAGTAGGAAGGGGAAAGGGGGAAAGGAATAAGGGAAAAGGCAAGGAATAACATTCCAGAGAGAGAACAGGGCATGCAAAGTCCACAAGGTAAGAGACCTAGGAAAAGGAAGAGAATGTGGGGAAACAGGGAGACTGTTGCAGTTGTCAAGGCAGCAGATGATGTTAACTTGGACAAGGAAAGTGACAGTGAGGATAGCAGTGGGAATGGAAAGAAACAGTGGCTGGTTTTGAGAGATATCAGTTAGTAGGCAAAAATTCATAGGATGTAGGATTTTTTGACCGATTAGATGGAAAACATGAATGAGAAGAAAGAATCAAGGTCCCAAACATGGACAACTGGGGAAATCACAGTGCCATTCACTAAGATGAGGGAGAGGAAGTTTACAAGAAAGATAAATTAATTTGCTATATGTTGAGTTTGAGTTGCCTATGGGAAATTCAAGGAGGCAAATTGTAAACACAGGTCTGATGCTTAGGAGAAAGAGCTAGGTTAGAGATATAGATTTAGCAGCTCAAGCACATTTTACATTTTACCTCTCACTGTCAATGTCTCCCACTCTCAGTAACTCCCCTCTGTATTGAATAGTAATTCAACAAATACATGTTACATCCTGCTAAATATTAGGCATTTTGCTAGGTGCAGGATTATATGCAAAAAAAAAAAAAAAGAACAAAAAAACAGTTGGAGTCATTTTTATAAAAAAAAGCTAACATGTACGTTTTGAATTGAACAAATTTTGCATATTTGGCTTAGCAATGAAAAAACTTAAGAAATTGTTTAGAACACATTATTATAATCCCCATTACTCACAGAGTGATGAGATAAAATGAACAGGCATAAATAATACTTTGATTTGATTCAGAAACCATGATAGATACTAGATAAAATCATTTATCTATCCAAGCCATATATTCAGTAAGCTGCTGAAAAAATCCACACTACTCCCAACAAAAAGTTGGACTGTGGATGACATGAGATTCTCTAAAACAGAAGAAAGCCTGATTCCCCCTTAACATCACCAATTGTTTTTCTTAATTCTTTTTCAGGTGGTCATCTTATGAAAGACATTGAGATTGGAAGCATAATCTACTTTTTATACAGCTGTTTTCCAAGGCAAGCTTAACACTGAGAGAAAACAAAGGATGGTTAATGAAAACAAGGAAAAAGTTACTTGCAAGCAGAATGCAGCAATGCACGGTGCTGTTTTTAGATGCCAAACTGGTTTTCCACATGAACACAAGCTCAGAAAATGTACTGGTGACAAGAAATATAATAAAGATGGGTACCTTTTGAAAAAAGTTTACATGCTTGAAAGAAAGAGTATCCAACTCCCACTGCAGAAAGAAAGTGTAACGCCATTAAATAAGAATATCAGAAAGAAAAATAAATGAAACGACACAAAACAAAACGTACTCCGAGTGACTACTGACTTGAGTGGGTTTTGGGCAGTCTCCTCAAACCCTATTCCTCCACCCCAGCTGGGCCACTCCAAGAATGCCTTCAGAGGAGCTGAATTTTTAGAGGACTACGAAGTAAGAAGTCTGAACTGAAGGAAAGGGATAGTCCACTTTATTTCCTATAGTTCCCAGACATTTTTTCTTTTACTTTGACTTCACAACAACGTGTTGAAGTTAGTAGGTATTATCGTCCCTACTTTACAGACAAGGAGCCTGAAGCTAATAAGTGAAGTGAAGTGCCCAAGGTCACACAGATGGTAAATGGAGCCAGAAATCTAACTGAGGTCTTTCTTCTGCTTAGGAATACTAACCTATTCAATTTTTATTCTTATAGCTATTGGTTTTTCTCCCCTTATTGTTTCTTTGTTTTGTTCTTTTTATACTTTTTTCCCACTATCTTCAATATTTCCAGTATCTTCGGTCTATCTTCGTATAGTATTATTGATTTAAAAACATTGTTTATAGTTTTTCTGAGTATATTTATATATTTCCTAAGTGTTGACTATATAACATTCATCAGCATAGCCTAGTAACCTGCTTTCATCACCTCTTTTTAATCTGATAAATGCTGGGGATGAAATATATTTTTATGCTCATTAACCTTGGCTGAAGCCTCCTGTGAATTTACAAGCAGTTTCCTTACACTAATGAAGTCTCTGATTCTACTTAGATTAGAGAGACCAAATTTAGTCCCATGTCACCCATTTTACTCACTTAAGGCCCCAAAGACCAAATTATACTCTCCGAACAGACAGACCCAAAGGCAACTCAAGAGAACCCTTAAGGCATCAGAGGAGTTTGACAGTGTTAAGAGGATAATTATTTTCCCATTGAACTTTAAAAACAAGTGGATACCATATAGTTAAAATTAGTCTACAATAATTAAAACTAAAAAATGAACTCTGCGATGGTAAATTACCAACAAAATTAGTTACTGGCACCTATTTAGAAAAGGGAATATCATTCTACAGGGCGCCCTAAAAGTCACCCCTCAAGTCACCATACATAAGGAAAATGGAAAATTGGAGCCAAATGTACCTTTGCTTACAAAATATCCATTAAAAAATGTACAAAGAGATGGCCAACACATAGAGACTATTTTATAAAATTTGGTAATGAATACTTTGTAAATAAAAGCACATTTAGCTATAATTTCCCATTTTCCCTATTTATGGTAACTTTAGGGGACTTTAGGAAACCCTGTATTATCTAAGCCATTTACTGAGCAGAAACTTATCAAAACCAAATAATAGTAAATATATGTGTGTGCGTATGCATGTATTTATAAACCGGTTTCATATGCTTTCCTCCACCTACTGAAGAAAAGTATGAGTTTGATGATGGCAAAATATTCATACTCTCTGGAATACTCAGTCCTCAGATATTCATCATTCTGTTTTATACTGACTACTGTGTTATATTATCATATGACAATCTCAATCTGCCCCCTACCTTATGCAATATAATTTAAATATAACTAAAGATGCTGAAATAAAAGTCATTTATCAGCACTGAAGAATAAATTCAGTATTTACAGCAAAAGTAACAAAGTAAAAAATAGCAATAAAAGAGAGAGAAAGTGAATGTAATAAATTTTACCATGTTTAGATGAAAAGAATGGAGTTCTAGATCTCATCAAATTTTCAGATGTGGGGACCACAAACTGGATTGGCCTCACATGCTTATCCGTCAGGTTCCTGAAACCAGCCTGTTGGTTCTCAAATATACTTCGGATATTTTCAAGCTTCAGCTGCACAGTCTGCATCTGGATCTGCGGATTGCAAAAGACTTCTATGAAACATTTTCTGAAATGGGCTCACTGCAAACCCTATTATATTTCTTAGTCCAAAAACTGGAGTTTAAACTATAACTAGAAGAAATTAAGGAAGGTAACAGAAAATAGATTAATGTATTATCTTCACATGGATATAAAACCAAAATCTCAACCAAAACAACCCGAGGACAAAATTTACTAAGCAATCATAAAGTTGGTCATTACATCTGTGATTTGCCCTTCATTGGCTGAAAGAGATAATGGCCGAAAAAGCCTTATTATTCTTTGTAGTTTAGCATGAGAAAGCCACCAAGTTATAAAAACAAATGACTAACACTGGCATAGTATTTTGTTACATTTTACCCTACAGGACTTGTAACAGGCTCCTTAGCACCACCAACGGATATACACCCTCTGTCTTCTTTGAGGCAGCTAGAGGTAAGCTTGGTTGCATCCAGGGAATCACTTGGTTATTGCCATGACCATATTTCTAATTTCCTGGAGCATCCCCTAGGACCTTCAGTTAAACATGGATTTAGATACTGTTCCAACTATACATTTTAGAAGCATAAACAACATCTCAAATTTTTTTGTCTCCAATGTAAAGAGAGTCCTTCATATCATGTCTAAGAAGGGAGTACAGAAGTAACCTAGAGCCCTCCACCCTGCAGATACCAGCGTTCCATCCTATTCCCCCTTCCTCAAGAAGACTCAGATCCTATATTTTTACCCCTTCATTCTCTAACTGCGTAGGAAAGCCAGATCTATGTCCACAGAAAGTCTGTTAGTGGTCACCACAGCACAGAGGAAAGATGTTATAGAGGTAGAGTACTCTTGACATAAGCCCAAAACTCTACAGTGGAACAGCTTTGATCCTTTCTCTAAGGAAGCAGAAGAAAATGTGGGCGAGTGCTTCTGTAATGGGAAAGGAGTATTTAAAAAAGTGGAGTCGGAGCTCAAAAAGGAAATTACTCTTCATTATATAGCAAGCTTTGGATTCTTTGATGCTTAACAGTGCCATTATTGTCCCCCTTAATCCTTAACAGGGCAGTGTAAATGCAATCCAACATAAAGTTAGCTGGGAGATAGTAAAACTTACCCATGCTACTGCAATTATTTTTTAATGTGTATAAGTGAAAGCTTAAAAGTTTCTTACCTTGAGTTCTGGAGATAAAATTACATCAAATTCGTACTGTAGGGTTTCAGGATCATAATTTATGAAGGGTAGAGCCATTTCAAGAAAATTTTCAATGTCTTGGAGAGCTTTCTGAGCATCTTCTTTAGACTGAAACTTATCCATTTCCTGATTAGCTAGAAGACATTCCCCTTCATCACAGCACTGACGAGCCTGGTAAGAAAATCAAGAGAAAGAACATGAATGAATAAAGAGGAACTGTATTTGCCCATTAACAGAGCAGTTATCACCCTTGGCTTTGGTGAGTCAAAATTACTTTCAGAGCTGTAAAAAATAAAGACATCTGAGTTATGCTCTCCAAAATTCTGATTCAGTAGCTCTGGATATAAGCTGGGAATTTATACTTTTATGGAGCTGCTCAGGTATTGCTGTAGCACAGCCAAGGGTGTGGAGCACTGCATTTATTTATAACAAGTAATTTTTTTCTCCAGCAAGAGTCCAACCATTATCACAACACTAACACTTCAGTTGTACATTATTTCCCCAAAATCAATAACGGAAATACGAAACTCCTAGCAAAATATAAAGGGTAATATAAACACTTAGTGATTTCCAAGGATAAGAATAAAAGCTTCCTTACCAGGGATATACAGATTGAAAATCTTTATGTTCACATATGATGTCTCTAAGTGATACCCTTATTTTACATTCCACTGTTAAGACCAGATCTGTAGGGTAACCTGTCCAGTCACTGCCTAATCCTGAAAGGGGTCAGAGACCCACAAGCCGTGCAGGAATATTTTCCAGCTGCTGTTTTTTAGTTCTGTGCCATGAAAACTGGAAGGAGTTTCAGGCTTTAGCAAAATGCCCCCTGGGATTTTAAAATTATTCTTAGTGCAAACTATCACCAGTAGAAGCTTGACAGACAGATACCCAAAACAGAAAGACGTCATTATCACCACAATCTCAATACTTAGAACACAGGACAAAATTTGTGCTATACTGGATCTTCCATGAATGGTATTTAGGTAGACGAAAACCATAATCAAACTCAGTCTTTCAGACTTCTTACAAATGTAATCCCAAAGCTGACCCTATAACCTCTGAGAAGATAAAATATATACCATGAGGGATAAGGCCAAAGTATTTCAGGTCAGGAGGACCCAGAGGAAAAAATGTATGTTCTTTTTCAGAAATGGATTATTTCCCATCACACTACCTGCTGTAGGAGTTTATGCATTTTGAAGGTCCTGCTGAGCTGTATCCGTTTCCTTTTGATCTCATTAATCAAAATATCAGTAAGATAGCGGAGCTCATTGCACCTCTGGCAGATTAGATCAAGTGCATAATGGTGATTTGCAGCAAGTCTGTGTCCATGTAATATCACAAATCGGGCCTTGGCTATTAGGTCCTATTTTAAGAAAGAAAGAAAATATGAAAATATGACTAAACAGTTTGTGTGGGTATAGAGGAAAAAGGAAGAAAATAATTAAGAAGCAAATTATTTGGGCAGGAGAGATATACTGCCAAAAATATAATTTGATAGCACATTTCTGTGGGCTGCAAAAAATCTTACAGTTACAATAATAATTGGCTAAAGCAGGAATGTCATCACAAGCTCATGCATTTCTGGTTACAGAAACTAAAAATTCACCATCCTACCCAGAATGTGTATGAGATTTTTTTCTCCTTCTACGTATGGATTTAGAACAGAACCACATATATCGAATGAGGTAAACACTAGCCAAATGAAAACTAATGTATTTCATATCATCCTGGCCTCAGAAATCTTATCAGGGTCATCATGTACCTAGTCTACTTAACACACCTAACGTGACCATCACAGGGTTTCCGTGTGAAAAGGGATCTCAGTGGCCTTGCCTCCACTCTCTCAACTACTGACTTCCCCCACCCCTATATAGTGATTGAAACAATACAAGCTCAGGAAATGTTTGTCAAGGTAAAATAAAGAAAACTGAAGATCAGAAGGAGGAAGTGAGTAGCTTATCTAGCTAGTAGGAAAATCAAGGTTAAAATGAGGAGCTGGTGTTTACTGGGTATAGAGTTTCTGTTTTATAAGATGAAAAAGGTCTGGAGATCTACTCCACAATGATTGCATATACTCAACACTACTGAACTGAGCACTTCGAAACGATTAAGATAGCAAAGTTTATGTGATGTGCTTTTTTTCACAATTAGAAATGAAAACTTTTTTAAAAACAAAAAACATCAAAGCACCTCCTTGTTTCCAAGCCCCATTTGCCTTCTCTTCCATTATGCTATAAGGATGTGTAAATTGCATCACAATCGCAGAGACCTACAAGTACAATTCCAGAACTGGTTACCATAAATTCTGCCTCTCAGTTTGTGCTTGCACATGCTTGTGGTTCACTCAAAAATCTGTTTGCTAAGAATTCATCTTTAAAAGTATGGCCTTGCTCTGCCGTACAAGACAAGAGAGCAAAAGCAGAGCTTGTTAAGTATTAAAGCTCTGCATCCATACGCTCTAAGACTAGAAGGTGTAATGTACTTACTATCCAGCTCAGGTACTTTGCTAGGTCCTTTATATCCACCTAAATGAAGCCTAACAATTGTTCTGCAAAGTAGATCATTTTATCCCCAATTTATAGACAAGGACATTGAAGCTTAGAAATCAGTTTACCTGAGGTCACACAGCCAGTATGACTAAGCAGATCTGTCTGTGTGAGTCTACATTTGGTTCAACTGAATGTATCATAGAGTGGGCATTTAAGGAATTATGTTCTTGTATGTTTCCATCATTTGCAAGCAACAAGTATCATTCCCAATAGACATTTTTCTATCTTCTCTAAAATGATTTATGCTCTTTTTCCTATTGATGGGCTTAAAATAGTCCACACCTTATCTCAGCGGGCTCCCTTTACAACCTCATGACATATTTGCAGTGTCACTCAAGCCTACATGGAACAAAACAGAATATAGACCCTTATCATTGCGCCTATAATACAGAATATTGCTATGAGACATTAACAGTAAGGGTTTATACTACCTAGTCCCACTAAAACATAACTATTATACTCCATAAATATAGCAAACATCAAAAATATCATCTTACCTGAGAGTTTTCATCTAGGTTCTCCAACTTTTTTAATTTTTGTTTGACTTGAGTTATATTCCCTGTTACATCACCCAGATCTGTTTGTTGGCGCAATAGAAACTCAATTTCAGCCACAAGCTAAAAATAGGAAATAAAGAGACTTTAAAAACATACAAATTAGTAAGCCTTTTCCCTTTATGATCAAGTTTTATAGGAAATGCTATTAAACAAGAATGTCAATATGGAAAAGTTATACAAATAGAAAAATTCTTTCAGTTAATTTATCACAGGAATAGATGTAATCTGTTAAAATTTAACCTCCCAGCTATCAGTGTATACTCATGTCTTATAAAAGATGACCATGTACATGTACAAGTATATAGTAATATATGTGGGCATGTATTTGTATGTATGTATACATGTAAGTATGGACATGTGTGTATACATGTATATACAGTCCCCAGCCCTATGTTGAATGGTCCTAGAAGCCAAGATTTTCCAGTAGCAATTAGTACACCTGGCACTCAGATATTGATCTTTAATACTATTTCCGGGTAGGAGGGTCAGGAACAGGTTCCTCCTGGAAATGGCTGATTCCAGGGCTGAAATAGAATAAGTAAAGAGTAGCTTGGAAAATCTCTCTTTATACCAGAAGGAAGGAAGGGATTTTAGAAAATGTTGGAAAATGTCACAAGAATACAGTAGCAGTCTGAAACACCAAAAGAATTAATAAGAGTAATAAATTTTAAGCCACCAAAAAAATCTAGGAACCTAGGAATCAAACGAGTAAGTGAGGAGAAATGAAGGACCTGGCTTCAACAGAAGGCCTGGTGTGGACTAACAGATGTGGAGTGGACACTTGAACAATCATCATTTTGCAACCATCATAGTAAAGGCTGGTCCTGGTCAAGGCAAGACTCATCACCGAATAATCTATGGGGAAATTTTGATGAGGAGCAAGATATTTGCATGACCTTAAATTTTCTCCCCATATACTTCCTACTCGTTACAGTGGGTGTGGTGGTGGGAGGAGTAACTTTACAGTGGAGAATTTCAAGAACCCCGACTGGGCAATCAAAATCCACATCAACAATGAGGGGCAGGAAGCATGATTTACATCTAGATGTGACACCTCAAGAAAGGCACGCCACTAATGTAGTATTCTAGCTGGTCATACATATTAAATATAATCATGAGAAGTCACCCAATTCCAAATGAAGAACATTGTATTTCACAAAGGACCATATTCTTCAAAATGTCAGTGCCATAAAAGATGAAGGCCACGGAAATACCACAGAGTTAGGGAAACTAAAAGGATACGCCAACTTCATGCAAGACTAGATTCTAGACAGGATCCTGTTCTGGAGGAAAAAGAAATGCTATAAAGGAGCTAACATTTTGTCAATTGACAAAAATGAAATATTAATGGTAGATAATATAAAAGTATTGCATAATTGTTAATAAATGTACTAAATTTATGAACTATACTATGGTTATATCAGGACAATATTCCTGTTATTAGAAAAAACTAGGAGTATTTAGAAGGAAAGGGTCATCATGTATACAACTTACTCTCAAATGGATCAGAAATTATATTATTTGTCAGAAAAAAATATTATCTCTGTGTGTATAAATAAGTCTATACACAAATACTATATGAGGGAGAGAATAGAAATTATAAAGCAAATGAAATCATATTATCAATAAACTTATTGGATCTGGAAAGAAGGTATATGGGTGTTTCTGTTTTTCTTATGCTTGTAACTTTTCTATAAGTTTGAATTTCTAAATAAGTTTTTATTTTTCCCAAGAATATAAGCTCCTCAACATATAGTACCTGTCCACTTGACACTATGAGACACAAAACAGGCCAGTGAGATTACAATCTAAGACAAATACGGTAATATTGATGAAAGGCAACGATCAATGACTTGGGGAAACAGAACATAACCACAGGACAAGAATTTAGTATGGAGACAAGTGAACATATAAGTATGTACACAATGGGTATGTCCAGGAAAAATGGTGCTGTTTTGTGTGCATTTAGTTCGGGGCGGGGGAGAGAGACACAAATAACTGAAAGGACCAAGAGCGATTTGACATTTCAAAACTTGTTTGAATCAAAGGAGGAAGAGAATTGGTAGTAACTGAGCCCTGGGTCCAGCATGCAGGACTTAATCCTGCTACATCAAATGAGATGCCAAACAAGAAAGCAGCAAACAAGCTGAGCACATGCAAAAGAGAAAAGGAGTGTGTTTTCCTGGCATCTCTGGTAAAGTCTGAACTATGAAAGAGACTGTGCAGAACTCAGCCGCGACTCCAAAAGAAAAGGAAGAAGCCAAATCTTTGTGTCTTGACCATATAGGACAGATTTTCCAGGAGGGTCCTACTGGAATATTCTTTTAATCATTTAAATGGAAATATACTTGATTTAATTTCATATGCCAGACTTTTCATAGAAATAAATTCCTGGATCATAAAAAAGTTAGAAATTAAATATGACGAGCATGGGGGTACAATATCTAAAAACCAAGAAGGAAGTTGGTATTTTTTTAGAATGCCATTACACAGTCCGGAAGCACTTTAGACCTAAGATAAATCTGAATAAAAACCTCAAGGTGCACAGCAACTTTGTCCCTGTCATATTACATAAATGTCGGCACTTAAGTACTTTCTCATAGGAAATGAGTGAGCTGAAGAAGTAAAAGTCTTGAAATTTCAGCAGAAATTTTCTTCAGTCTAAATCAGGGGTCCTCAAACTTTTTAAACAGGGGGCCAGTTCACTGTCCCTCAGACCATTGGAGGGCCAGACTGCGGCCCCGGGATGAGTCGGCTGCTAAGCAGGACAGGCAGCAGTGGCAAAAACACCCGGCAGGCCAGATAAATGTCCTAGGCAGGCTGCATGTGGCCTGCAGGCCATAGTTTCAGGATGTCTGGTCTAAATCAATGTTCACCTCCTTTTTTTCTCTCTATAAGCATAAGTGGGCACCTCCCAAGACTGGATTTCTGATAAACAAGGAGTAAGAACCTCTGGAATAATGCAAACAACAACAAAAAAATGTTTTAACTGACCTCTTGAAAATCCTGTTCAAACTTCCAGAGTTGCAGATACTGCTCCATTTTTAATTGGTGTTTTTCCCAAAATCCATCAAAAGCTTTTTCCATATCATGTACTTGAGTCAGCAGTCTTAATAAAGAAAAGTTAAAGAATTTCTTTAAAACAACCATCTATTGTATAAGTATGTAAATAAACCTGGCCTGGACATTAAGAATTATAGGCAATCCTAAGCAGGACCAAGACCCTGGATCTACTAAAAATAGAAAAATTAGCCGGGTGCTGTGGCGGGCGCCTGTAGTCTCAGCTACTCAAGAGGCTAAGGCAAGAGGATCACTTGAGCCCAGGAGTTTGAGGTTGCTGTGAGCTAGGCTGACACCACGGCACTCTAGCCTGGGAAACAGTGAGACTGTCCCAAGGAAAAGAAAAATTATAGGACAAGTCATAGCCTGTGACACTTTCTTCACATAGAAATAATCAAAGTCCACAAAACCTCTCTTACAAGCAAACTAATTTCTGTGGGACAAGCCAGGAAGAAGTTTTCAGATTTCCAGAGGTCCAGGAATACTTTCACACTTAACAGATTACAGTAAAAAAGTATAATTTCCTTTCCAAAATGTAAAATATGTAACTAAACCACAAAGGGAGTACTCACTTATTAATAGTATGCCAGTCACCAGTTATTTGATGACTCTCTACTGTTGAACTTTCATCCTCTCCAATGTCACGCACTTCCAGGTTTGTTAGCAGAATTTTTCCTTCTTTGGTTACAGCTGTAATATCATTCTGTCCAAAAGCATAACAGGATGTATCAGCCAATTAGCAACTGAACCTGAGTAATGTGATGAGAAGGATGCATACATCTACAGGATACTGAACAGAAACGGCAGTTCTAGAATGGCCTTTGCTTTCTCAGTTGTCTGAAAAATCAAGGAATACTTCAGTACCACAGAATCGAAAAGCTGTGAGGACCCAGAAGGCCCTGTCTTGGACATGGATGTTGTAATCACAATTTTTATAACAGTTACAGGCAGGAATATCATGTGCTATGTTTATAGCCTCTATTCCTTACTGGTACAAAGTTCCAATCCATTCCATTCTATTCTGTTAATACTTTTAAAGAATGACATAAGAATACAGGAGAATACTTCAAGGAACTAAAGTCAATCTACCATTCAATTCTACAATTCCTCTACTAGGTATATACCCAGATGGTAAAAAAATCATTTTAAAACAAAGACATTTGCACCAGAATGTTTGTTATAACCCATGGAAACAGCCCAAGTACCTATCAACTTATGAATGGATTAAAAATTGTAGTATATGTACACCATAGAATACTATGCAGCCATAAATAGATGCAGACGTCACATCTTTTATGTTTACCTGGATGGAGCTGAAACATATTCTTCTTAGCTCAAGAATGGGGGAAAAAAGTATCCAATGTACTCAATACTACTATAAAATCAATATATAATTACCTACACATTCATACAAATGGTAAAACAACTATAGTCCAGAAAGTAGAGGGGAAGAGGAGAGAAAGGGAAGGGGGAGGTGGGAGGAGAGAGGGCATTTGGGGGAACTTCACCTAATGTGCATGATGCAGTGGTACATTTCAAAACTATTAAGAGTATAATTGTTTTAACACAACAAATACATAAACGAGGTGATAGATGTGTTAATAAGTTCAATGTAAACATTTCACATCGTATATCAAATCAGTACACTGAACCCCATAAATGCATCAATGTACAGTTATGATTTAGTAAATAAATAAAACAAAAAAAGAATACAGGGTGGCCATAAAGTTCATGTGCAATTTAAATAGTTAGAACGGATATATTAATCCTCAGGCATCTAAGGGTAATCTAAGACCTCCTTCAGGAGGGGCAAGAGCCCCATGAACCTGTAAGCTAAAGTTTGAGTGTACATGTATTTTTCTGGAAACAGGTTCTGCGAAACTACCACCAACATAAGAACACAAACATTAAGAGCTAATATTTATGAAGTGCCAACTAGGTACAAAGCACTGTGGTACATACATCACCTACGTATCGCATCCTCACATCATATTTTCAAGGTATGCATGTACCATCATCATCACTATCATCATCACCTCATTGTACAGTTAAGGAAATTGAAACTCAAAAATAATAAGCAAATTGCCCAAGAACACACAGTTTGTGAGGGACAAATTTCTTTTCCCTTGGACAGTTTCACTTTTAGATTGTGATTCAAAAATTCACTTTCTTATTTTAAACATATATCTCTACATAGAACTTGAATCTGCCAGCATGTCTATTATCAGATGAAAAAGATGAGTTATATATGGGTGCCTGGTGCTTGTTCAGATGGTTCTTAAATTTTTTGAGGAAAGAAATTTTGTGGATCCAAAAATACTTGCTAATTGCCTGAATTGTGCCTCAGAATTCTTCACAATATACTCCAGAGAGAACTGGGTAGGACAGCAAAATCAATTTGTCACTTCTGGGCTACTATAGAAAACATCAAGAACTAGTATTCTGTGGAAGAGAGAACTTGAAATCAATTGAGTGATGTTGGCCTTGGTCACTATGCAAATTCACACCAGAGATGTGATAAGAAATCGGGCCTCCTGACCCCTCAAGTGTTCCTTCTCCCCTTTCATGCTTTATCTGATGTATAGGTTAAAAGAAAACACCTGACTGACTCTTGATTCTCACCCTTGATTTCCAAATCACAGAGCCTTCCCATAAGATAAAGAATACAGTCATGGCTGGGCATGGTGGCTCACACCTGTAATCTTAGCACTCTGGCAGGCTGAGGTAGGAGGACAGCTTGAGCTTGGGAGTTCAAGACCAGCCTTAGCAAGAGTAAGACCCCTGTCTCCACTGAAAATAGAAAAATTAGCTGGGCACTATGGCAGGCACCTGTAGTCCCAGCTAATTGGGAGGCTGAGACAAGAGGATTTCTTGAGTCCATGAGTTTGAGGTTGCCATGAGGGATGATGATGCTACAGCATTCTACCCATGGTGACAGAGTGACATTGCTTAAAAAAGGGATATACTCTGAGAAAGGCACTGTTGGGTTTTGTTATGGTGGAAACATTATAGTATACTTACACAAAACCATATGGGATAGTCTATTACCCATAGGCTACAAACCTATATAGCATGGAGGCAACTGTAACACAGTGGTCATAATGGTAAATATTTGTGTATCTAAACGTATCTAAATATAGAAAATAAACAGTAAAAATTCAGTATTACAATCTTTTTTTTTTTTTTTTGAGACAGAGTCTCACTTTTTCGCCCTCGGTAAGGTGCAGTGGAGTCGCTCCAGGAACCTCCAACTCCTGGGCTTAGGCGATTCTTCTGCCTCAGCCTCCCAAATAGCTGGAACTACAGGCACCCACCACAATGCCCGGCTATTTTTTGTTGCAGTTTGGCCGGGGCTGGGTTTGAACCCACCACCCTTGGTATATGGGGCCGGCGCCCTACTCACTGAGCTACAGGTGCCTCCCCAGTATTACAACCTTATGGGAAAACTGTCATACGTGCCTAAAGACCTTTTGTGAGACACTCCTAGTTAAAAAAAAAAAAGACCAGAGATTTCTTATTCTGGAGGATTTATAACTATTCTATTTACAAATAAAGGACTCCTCAAGATAATGTACCATTTACAAAGGGGACACATGGATTCAATATATCCAGAACATTCTTCTATTAAAAAGTATTATTTTTATAGTTTTTTATATAATATGAAAATGTCTTTTATCTCCCTTTATGCAACAATCAGTGTGAAATGACACTTTAAACACATTTCTAGAAAAAGAAATACCATGGGTAACTTGTGTTTGTCCATTCTATCAGACATACCTTTAACAGACGATACCTTTCAGCACGAATTGCCAGAATTTCTTCAATTGAATGAATATCATCTGGTAGTTCAGTCTCAGCCAGTTCAGTTCCAAAGGACTGTAGCATCTGAGCCATTTCTTTCACTGTGAGGGCAAAATTTTCTATTGCCTGCAAAGAGTCGGTGATTCTTTTAATTCTATGGGTACCCTGATAGGTCATCAAAACCTGGATCAGTAATTATCATTTATTTGGGTATAACTGCAAACTCTCCTTTGCTAGGAAAATGTGGCATTGCCCTTGGCAATCAACTCTAACTTTGCATCTAAGCCCCTAAGAAACCAAAGCAATGTTAGGAGTCTTCCTGGATGTCTTTTACCTAAATTTCTTTACTTACTTGTTGGACACTGATTAAAAACTATTTCTTAAAGATGCCATGTATCGAGAAATTTTTTTTTGTCTTTGCAAACTGCAGTGTTTTCATTATCCTATAAGCTATGCAATTAGTAAAAATGTTTTCTAATAACTTTACTTCTGAAGAGAGATGAGAATACCAAAGTTGTTTTATATTTATTATCACTTATGAAGAACCATTAGCATTCCAAACAAGGTGATGATCTAAGGAAATAGGGGAACAATAGACACAACAATTCATTTCAGGTACTGCTCCCTAAGGTTCTGTTGCCCTCCCTGAAATAGTAAGCAAGGCTTTATTGTTTATTTTGTTTCCAAACTCAATTACTGACTGAGAGAAGGGCAAAATACAGAGACCGTAGGAACCACCTGTTTACCATACAGCTTTTTAATTTATAGCTGTATAGGTTATTAAAGGTTAGACGTTGCTAATTTTGACAATACATCTTCACATAAATGAATGAATGATTACATGAATGCACTATTGAATGAATTGTTGAATGAACTGTTGGATGAAGAATGGGGATGAGAAAGATGGAACCCAGATTTAATGAAACATCGCTATTTTCTTCAGAAGCGTTCCCATGTGTCTGGGAATTGAAGTCAAGATAACTATACCACAGACTCACACCTGGGAGGTGGCAAGGCCTTCGCCTATTTGTAAATTTCTGTTATACCACAAAAAGACTCTGCTACAATTCTCATTGCCTCAGAAGCATCGCTAAGATAATGAGATTAATAATGCTACCTGCTTTTGCCATATGCTACATGCTGTGCCAAACACTTTACATTTGTTATCCCATTTAAACTTCCCAAGAAGTACGGTACTATCTTTGCAGTATGGCACTATCATTCCCATTTCATAGTTGAGAAAACTAAGGCTCAGAGAGATTATGGATATTATCCAAGGCCATTGAGCTGAAAATCAGCAGTGCCAGAATTTGAACCCAAACCCTTTGATTCTTCAAGTTACTACATGGCCACAGGGCGGGGCGTCAGAGAATATTATCCCCTTATTCCCTAGGCTTCTCCTTCAATTGCCATCCTCAGTGACTCTTCATCATTTCTAGATATTTCCTATGGAAGAAAATCAAGACGTTGAATTATATATGTAATTCCAAAGTAGCCCAAGAAATCTGTTTTTTTCAATAGGAAAAAAAATTCTAGAACTAGATATAAAGGCTAACACGAAGAACTATAGGCGCTACAGTAAGGGCAAAAGCAACATACATTTCTGAAGATGATCCATTCACTGTGGCAGTACTGCAAGGTGCCGCCTAACTCAGGGGTTAATTGCTTGTCATCAATGTATGTCAGCAACTCACTAACTGAGCTCAGCATAACAACCTATATAAATAAGCAAGAAAGATACTGTTAACTGCCCTTCATGGCATCCCTCCATTAAACTGTAAAATGAACTTTAGCATATATTTAGCAGAAATTTATCTTTTAGAAATGGTTCCAACAGTTCTCTCCACGCAGATATCCACTACCTTCTTCAGGGTAACAACAGTTTTATTTACAAAATATTTCTCTGCACGGCCAAATCAATCTCCATAGAAACCAAAACACCTCATTCTCCTTCATCCAGTTTGCACTGTTAATAGCCAAACTTCTGAATGAATGCTATAGCCCACCACAAAGTAATTTATTAGGAGGAACTGATCTTTACAAAAGTATTAAAATTCATGAGTACTCTATCCCCAACCCTAAACACAAATGTAAATATCTTTAAAAAGAAAAAAAGAGGGCCAGGTGCAGTGGCTCACACCAGTAATCCTAGCACTCTTGGAGGCCTAGGTGGGACCACCTCCTTGAGCTCAGAAGTTCCAGACCAGCCTGAGCAAGAGCGAGACCCCACCTCTACTAAATATAGAAAACTTAGCTAGGCAGTTGTGGCATGAAGCTATATTCCCAGCTATTCAGAAGGCTGAGTCAGGAAGATTGCTTGAGCCCAAGAGTTTGAGGTTGCAGTGAGCCATGATGCCATTGCACTCTACCCTGGGTGACAGAGTGAGACTGTGTCTTAAATAAATAAATACATAAATAAATAAATTTTTTAAAAGAACATGGTACTCTGAACTAGCTCAGGATGTAAGTTCATGGGAGTTCAAATACATAAAACACACACTCACTTTTACTAAAAATAAAATTTCCTGATTAAATACACAAATATACATATATACACCATGCATACATACATATATATACACACATACGTGTTAACACATATGACATATATATTTGTCAAAAGGAACTGCTTTGTTATATATTGATGAATCTATACCTTTTTTAAAACAGAAATAGAAGACTCTGGCATTTCAAATTTACATTTTTGAAAAACACATTTTCTTTTTTTCTTTTAAATACTATGTGAGCACATGTACAATATAAACAACATGGCTCACAATCTTCATAAGAATCAAAGGGACAAAGAATTTAAATAATATACTCTTACCGGTAATTTGAGCATGAAATCCTCCTGACTAAATCGAAATCCAATGTCTGTGAAAGTTCGTTGAAGAAAACTGGTAGGACGTAAAACCAAAACCAAGTGCAGGTTCCCAGGGAAGGAAGCCTATAGAAAAAAATGAACAAAAGAAAGGGAAAAAAAATTATTAAAACAAGCACGCAGTGAGCACATATCAGAAAATATATAATTGAAAGAAATAAACTTTAAAGTCATAAAAGCCAGCAAAAGGCCAGAACTTTAAAAATTAATTTTGATTAAATCTTAAAACATGGAAATAGAAATACAAATAATGTGAGGTTATCAGGTCAGATCCTTGCAATGCTCCTGGCATGGAATTTTCTCACACTAGAAAAGTAGATCCCAAGTTACAAGGAATTAGCCTGTAAAGCTTCATTTTAAAGTTAGTTATTTGAACTCAAATGTCACTCATTTCCTATAAAAACAAGTAGAGTTAGGAGGCAGTTTCCTAGAATAGCCCTAAAAGCCAAAGGGAACTGAGATACCATGAACTTATAGTAAATAACGCAATAAAACTATATATGAGATCATATTTTTATTTTCATCCAAGCAACATTCACTGAATACCCTTTGTGTGTGGACTCTACATTTAAATGATTATCAAGCACTGTTAGGCATTGAATATACACAAATTTATTAAATATAGTCCATACGCAACAGTGCAACAGCAGAGTCCATTAGTAACCAGTAACTCTTTAGCATGATAAATTGATAATGGAAACAAAGGAATTAGAATAACATTCGAGAGGAAATGGTAGCACAAAGCTTAGTCGTTAGGAAGGTCAAAAAGGTCTGGAAGCACAGAGAGGAATTAATTGGATCAGAATGTTGTTCTAGTTCACCATGATTCCCTCAACTGCTAGAACAATGCAGGCACATAAGTAGGCAGTTAGAAATAATTGCCTACATTGAAGAATTCAAATGACAAAGAAGGCAGGCATTATGCAAAATGAGTGAGGAACGGAACAGCAAGGCCAGATGTCAATAAATAGATCACCCCATTCTAACGATTAGTCTATGCTAAGCATTTCCCCAACATTATCATAGTTCCTTTCCATAATAATCCTATGAAGGAGTTAAGTTACCAACCTTTTACAAATAGAGACTTGGTGACTTTAAATACAACCTGCTCCAGCTAGGGAAGCCTTGATTTGCACCCAAGTCTACGCTTTTAATGACTAATCTACCCCGTTTCTTGAAGAGGTCCCAGTTAAGAAAGCTGGAGGGGAAAATGATGCTGGAGGACAATGGGAGATGGTGTTGGAAAGATGGGCAGGGACCACCCACATCAGGAAAGATCTTAGTTTTTGTTTTTCCTGGAGGTAAGGGAAGCCCCAAAGAAGTTTGGAGTAGCAAAACAAGGTCAGATTTGCATTTTTAAAGGATCACTTAAAGCAGTGCCTTAGCTCAGTGGGTAGGGCGCCAGCCACAACACCCAGGCTGGCAGGTTTGAACCCGGCCTAGCTAAACAATGACAACTGCGGGGGGGGGGGGGGGGGGGGCGGCCACTGTGACAAGTGCCTGTAGTCCCAGCTACTCGGGAGGCTGAGGCAAGAGAATAGCTTAAACCCAAGAGTTTGAGGTGGCTATGAGCTGTGATGCCACAGTACTCTACTGATGGTGACACAGTGAGACTGCCTTAAAAAAAGGACCACTCCAGCTTTAGAAAAGAACACGATTTGAACAAGAGTAGAAGCAAACAGAGGATCTAGGAGGCTGGCACAGGAATCCAAGCCAGGATGATGAGTTTGAAGTGGAACAACGATATAAGGCATAAGGGTAGAATTTAGGAGGAAGAAATACAGTTATCCACCAGAGGCTTGGTAAGAAAGGAGAGATGAAGTGGGTCAATGCCCAGATTTGGGACTTCACTAACTGGGTGAAGGGTACAACTTTCACTGAGCTGGGGAACAAAAGGGAAGCAGACTGTAAAGAGAGGGGGACAAGATTCTGATTCCCATTCATACTCTGTTGGGTTAGAAGGGTCAGCAGAATATCCAAATACCGCCCATCAGACAGCTGTAGCTACCAGTAAGGAGGGAAAGAACTTTAGGCTGAGAGTGTAGAATCAGGAGTCATCAGCCTCAAGATGGAGGATTAAAGGCAGAAAAAGACCCCGTGCCAGGCCCGAGATGCCCGCAGGCCTGGCGTTCACCAGTGTCGCACCTACTCGGTTCTCCCCCCCTCACTTCCCTCCTGGCGCCCCAAACCTGAGCTTGGGGTTTGACGACGTGTGCTCACGGAGGGGGTCACCACCACGTCGCCGTCCTCCAACGCCAGCATTGCCCCTAGTTCGCCAAGCTCCAGCCAACCACAGAGAGGTAAACGCCGGCTGGTACAAAGCCAACTGCGAATCCGCGGGGGTGAAGCACTCAGGAAGCAACTGGCTACTGGCGAGACAGCACCCCTACTGGACCGGGGGAGAAACCTCCTCGCTACAGGCCTGGTGCCGCGACATGCCGCGCCGCGCAATTAGGCGTTAATAGAAGTAAACCGAACTTTTGATTGGCTAACTTCCTTTCCAGTGTCTGGTGCAAGAAATCGCTCCAGATTAACAAACAGATCTGCACTTCTGAAGTGCATTTAAAGCCTATCTCTTTGGCCCTTTTGGAGGCACCAACCTGCGCGCTACCCATGCCAAACGTGTAACAATGATGCCCAAAGACATCCAGCTGGCACATCGCACATCTGGAGAGCATGCTTAAGAATGATGGGGAAACAGGCCCAGCGTGGGGACTCACGCCTGTAATCCTAGCACTCTCGGAGGCCCAGGCAGGTGGATTGACTGAGCCCACGTGTTCGAGACCACCCTGAGCCAGAGAGAGACTTCGTCTCTAAAAGTAGCCGGGCGTTGTGGCAGGCGCCCATAGTCCCAGCTACTTGGGAGGCTGAGGCAAGAGAATCGCTTAAGCCCAAGAGTTGGAGGTTGCTGTGAGCTGTGACACCACACCACCCTACCGAGGGCAACAGCTCGAAACTCTGTCCCAAAAAAAAAAAAAAAAGTGCTCCAGGTGAGACTTGAACTCACAACCTTGGCATCACTATATTGTCATATCAGTACCACACGCTAACCCATTGTGCCACTGGAGCCCTGGTTACCTATTGCTCAGTAGCTTACTTCAGTTGTTCATAGCCATGTGACATCACCAGACAACTCCACCTTATGTTCCATATGCAAATAAAAATTTAAAGAAAAATAGCCGAGTGTTGTGGCGGGCGTCTATAGTCCCAGCTCCTCAGGAGGCTGAGGCAAGAGAATCGCTTAAGCCCAAGAGTTGGAGATTGCTGTGAGGTAGGACACCACAGTACTCTTCCACAGGCAACAAAGTGAGACAGATTTTGTCTCAAAAAAAAAAATGATGGGAAAACATTTCACTCTAAAAAAAAAAAGTCTTCCTCCTGTTACTGTTAGTTCCTATCATTAGATGTTTTTTCCCTAAGTATATGACTGCGAATGGGAAAATGGCAGAATTCAGGTACTGGCACTTTTCGCATTTTCCTTTGTGTGTGAATTATTAATATAAATGTGGGGAAATGAAGCATTAATGCAAGTCAGAATATTTCTGTGGACAAGTTTGAGCAGTTCAATTTTATAACAATTATAAATAAACCTGTTTAATTCTTCTGGAAAAAAGCATAATAAAGCAAAACATATGAAAAATGTTTTAAATATGATATTTCAGGCATTCTACAATATTAGTAACTGAATAAAGCTATACAATAAAAAATAGTAAGATATTGTGGGGGCAAGGAGTTTTATTAACTCTTTACTTCCTGCTCATTTTTTTGATGGTCTTATAACACCTCTAAAACATAAAGTCCATTAAAAAAAAAGAGCAACTTTTACTGACATATGAAACCTAGACTCCTACAGATACAACACTCAAAACTTGGGATTTTTAAATTCAATTTGAGATGGTGATAAAACATAAAGCATCAACTGCCAATGAGAACTAGAGCAAGGAAAAGATCTGAATGTGAAATTCACAGATTGAAAAATCTTAAGAGCAAAACTTAAATCAAAACATTAAACGAGGGCGGCGCCTGTGGCTCAAGGAGTGGGGTGCTGGTCCCATATACCAGAGGTGGGGGGTTCAGACCTGGCCCCAGCCAAAAATTGCAAAAAAAAAAAAAAAATTAAACGAATATAAATAGACATAAATTGAGATGGTTGTCCAACTCACAGTTCCCCCAGGCAGCAATGTCTGTTGCCCTCTCCTTTGATTTGAGAAACTATTCCCCCTTCTATTATTCTAAATAACGTTCCTAAATGAGAACTCTTTTCCTGTGTGCCCCTGCCCTTCCAACACATAATGATTAATTGTGTCTAACAGTGTGATTAGTAGTGTATTAGTAGGAAAATTTCACTGTAAGCAGGGTCAAAGTAAAGTCCTGCTGTAGGAGTTTTCAAACTAGTGCAGAGGGAAGGACACTTCCAGGATGCCATTCCACAGCCGCTGGTTGCCAGGAGCCCTGCTATTGGAGAAAGCTTTTTTTTTTTTTTTTT